AGTAAATGCCATGGATTTTTCTTCTCCCAGGCAGTTTATATATATGGTTTTCCTGGATATTAAGCTTTTGATCTTTCTGGGCCTTTTGGTTATTTTTGGGATATGTCTATTTCAGTTAAAAATTTGCATCTACATTGTGTGTTTTCCTGAGGGCTTGGGAAACACTAGTTTTCAACAGTAAAACACTATGTACATCAAAATAATACAGAAATATGGGGAATGTGGAAAAAGGACATGGAAAAGGTGGAGGCACTGAATCTCTTCTTTGCCACTTAGTCTTAACTTGTAATCCCAGATCCCTGAGATCAGTGGGGAACTCTGGAGCAAGGCAAATGTACCTTCAGTAAAGGGGGATCAGGTTAGATAACCTTTAAAAGAATTGGATGGACACATGTCCATGGGGCCTGCTGGGATGCACCCAGGAGTGCTGAGGGAACTGGCTGATCTCATTGCAAGATCACTGCCAATAATCTTTGAAGCATTTTGGAGATTGGAGGAGATTCCCGAAGTAATGAAGACAACTACTTTCATTTCAATCTTCAAAAAAGGCAAGAAGGAGGATTCAGAGAACTACAGTCTGGTCAAACCACTATGATCTCCATCACAGAAGGATGGCCAATAATTCTGGAAATAATTTCCAAACTGTGACAGACAAGAAGGTGATTGTGAGGAGGTTGCATGGATTTATGAACAGCAAGTCATGCTTCCTCATAACATAGCACCTTCCAACATAAAATACTGCTGAAAATTCTAATACTTTTGACTCATCATTTCAACTCTGTTTCCTATTTCTTGATTTCCATCTTATAGGTCAGAATCTGTTTTTTATTTCTAGACTTAACTTGAGCCCTTATCACTGACCAGAAGTTCTCAAGCATGCGTTTTTCACATCAGCTCACTATTGAGCTGTATAGTCTCTGTGCTCTTTTTATTTAAAAGTTTACTTTTGGAGTCAGTTTATAATCCATAAGGAATTTTGAATATTGACATTGTTTCAAAAAGGTTCTGAAACATCTCTTGTGAAGTCATCAAACCCACCATTTGTGTCCTTATGGTCTGTTAGTAACATTTTCAATTAAATGTCTTTATGCTTTCTCTTCATGATAAATAATTAAACCTGGGAGAAGCTCTTTGATCTCCTTTTACAGTCTTAGTGGGGATGCCACTATATGTGGTTGCATGTAGTTACATACCTGATGTGTTGTGATATTTGCCATTTGGACTACCTGAATTGCCTTGGTTTAGTCTTGTTCTTTCCCTGTTGTCTTCTGTCATTTTGTAGTATGAAGGAATTGCATGATTGAGGTTTTTCTTTGCATTTTGTATGCATTTCAGCTGACGTGTCTGAAATATTTTGTCTGGGTATGTATCATTATACCAATACAACCTGAAATAAGCAAACAAAGAAATCAATGTCAAGGGTATCAACAATTACAGAGGAATTAAGTTATAACTCCACCACGGTTGAGAGGGAAGTAGCTACTTCCCTGTCTGCATCCTGACAGGAATAGTGGCTTCTTCTCAAAGTGAAGCTTAAGGTGCTAAAGGAAAACCCGGGACCATTAGGACCTGCTGCCTCCAGATCTACTAAAAAAGTTGGTATTGAGTGATTTATAAAAGACTGATGTCACACCTTTGGGCAAAGAGATGTGGAAGGAGAGGCCACTTTTTGCATCATACAACATGGAACAAGAATGGCAAAACATACCCGCCAGAGAGCTTAAGGGGAATGCAGTGTGAAACACTGCTGCTGTTATACATCTGTTTCCCTAGGAGATTAAAAAAAGATTGGGAAATAATTCAAAGCATTTTGGCCTTTTTAGATCTGCAGAGTTAAGAGTGTGAGCAGTTTTTGGTCCAGACACTACCTTGAGGAATGATGGAGTTACATGTTCTTAATCTACAGAAGATCACAGTGAGGATGCTTTGGTAGTGAAGTGTACACTGAAGGCACAAATAAAGAAGGAAGAAATAGCTAAGGGAGTGTAAGCCCTTGGGGGTAAGGTCAAGGTCATTATGAATGAATGCAGTCTCCCTGCTGTGTGTCAAATGTAACATTAGTACAATTTACTAGGGCTGGCCCTTCCTTCACCAGCATCAGGCACTAAAATGGGCATACTGCTGTCACAGGACATCATCAAAAAGGGATGTTCTACAGCCTCTCAGTGTAGATCATAATGTTGTCTGCTCAGATTGGGCACTGTGAGACAAATCTTCCCTAATAAGAGGGAACTAATTTCTGCCCTGTTTTTTCTTTTATTGAGTGCTAAGGTCAGAAGCAGATGGCTTTACTTGCAAGGGTATTTCAATATGCCTGTTTTCACAATGAAAACCTTGAAAAATACTCATAGTGTAAATGTCCTAATTTTCAGTTTTTATTAGTAAAATAGTGCCTGAAAAAAATAAGAAGAAATGCAGCTATGTGCACAATATTTTATTTTTGGTGAGCTTTGGTACTATTAATGCACATATTTATAAAGCTCTTAACTTCTATAAGAAAAAATAATTCATATGTAATAAAACATCATTTTACAACATATTTTAGATTTTCTTAGGATAATATTTGGCTCATTTTGCAAAAAAGCAGTAGTAAATGGGGAGAGGAGGAACAAGATGGTTTTGTTTGAAAATATGTAGGTTAAAGAAAGTGGCCAGCTATATGCTTGACTGGTTACTGAAATGCTGGAAGAAATGTTACTAAGTGTGGAATTACATCATCTTTCCTCTATACACAGAAAAAGCCCAAGGAAATATCATTTGTCATAAGACCTACGCTGCATAATCTAAAATGCCACTTTAATGCTGGGAGCAAAAGGATTAAAAAAACCAACCAAACAAAAAGCACACAAAAACCTCAAGAGCCTAAAGAAAGTGGTGAACAATTCAAATTAAATCAGTTTTTTATTGAAATGAAACAAGGGTGAGGAGGAAAAAATCTTCAGTTCATTTAATAATTACAGTTGGAAGAGGGAAAAAACCCAACAGTGCATAGACAGAAAAGATTGAAATCAGTAATGTACCTTTTATATTTTGTTCCTTATCTTTACAGAAAGTTATTATTATTTATAAAATCTGACAATGGAATCATAAAAATATAGTCAGTGTCTTTCTTTGCCTGCAGATCTGAATCTCATATCCTTGTCCAAGACTGCAAAAACTGAGCTTTGCACAGGGGACTCCCGCAACATGGAGGAAGGGAGAGTAGCCTCAGCTCCCCCTGAAATCAGGGAGATCTCACATAATAATGTCTGTTGGCATCCCTGTAGTGATTTCAGAGCTGAGGTGATGTGTGACATGTTTTTCTGGGAGCTCAGAACAGCCACAGACTCTGTGAGCCGGAAGCTGGATCTCAGACAACTCCTTGAGATGGCAAAAACAAAGCCCCTGCTTAGCTGAGTAGAAGTAGGATTGATGGACTTTGTGCTAAGACTCACATTGTCCTGTGTTCCATGATGCATAACACTGTGCATTGGACTTTCTGCAGACATAAAGAGAGATAAAGATGGAACTTTCTCAAGGCTGGTTTATAGGGAGGCAGCCACAGTGGTTGTATTTATCTCAAAGGAGCAGGCGGGGTATTCCTTGCAGTCTTTATTTTCAGATGTTGCATATTTTTCTGTAAGAGCCAAATGCAGATATTTAGTGAATCAGAGCTGAACATGTAGCTTTAGAGTGAAAAAACAGATCAAGGTCTCTTTACCTATACTGAAAAAAGCCCAAAACAATCAAACCTGCCCAGACAGAGGTTTAGTTAATATTCCCATTGGATAGTTAATGTGAATTGCTTGTTATGAACTGTCTGCAAGTTTTTCAGGAGGAGAAGGTCAAGCATTTTCAAGCCAGACAATACAGAGTTGAAACTGGACAGTGGTGCTCACTGGAGCTTCATGTGTTTCAGAACAATGAAATAGAACTCACAGAGTGAAACCAAGTCCTTTCACATTTTAAAGAAAAGGCAGATTTATGCATGAAGGCAAAATAAGTGAGCTCCAGTGTCAATTAGACTGAGGCTGGAGCATGTGTATGTAGAGCACAGGACCTTTCTGGCCATCCATGGCATCAGCTCTTCAGAATATGGCTCTGGTGCACCCCACTGTTGGCTATTACTCAAATCCATTTTATAGTTTAGGACTTGCTAGCTGAAGGGCTGTTTTTCTGCATGTGTGGACTTCACCGTTGTTTGTGACTCATAAATTGATAGTAGTTTGGGGCATGCTGGCTCAGCGGCTGTTTTTTTCCATGTTGTGCTGTTCCCTTTGTATGCACTATTTCCAACCAGTACACCCTTGTTTTTTAAGGAAGGAAGTTGGTGGCAGGCTGCTCAGAATTGTGCTGTAGCCCACTTGAATTTCTAATATTTCAGTGTCTTTTAGGAATCATTGAACTTCAGAGTTCACTTTCCGACCCTTGGCCTGAAATAGTTAATTCCCTAAACTACAGCTCATATTGCAAAGCTGATTTACAGGATTGTTGCTTTGAGAATGTGCTTTGAGCATGGAGAGACTTCTGCTTTTGTAAGAATTTTGGAGGTTTCACTGTTTTGTTGTTTCTTTTTTATGGCAGAGCAGTTAAGAGATGAGAATAGGTATATTTTATAGTGTTAGCATGAAATATAGATATATAATGAAATGGAGGGTTAGTGTCAGTAGTGAGCATTAGAAGGTGTGGAAGGTACAGTACTTTTCTACCCTCCCTAAGGTGTTTTACTGCTCTCTTGAAACAGGATGTAGAAAAGCTTTAATTGACCAGTCAAAAAATATGGAGTCAGATTAATAATCAAATGCTCATTTGGGACTAAGTCCCGGTCCTGCTGAAGCCTCCGGAAAAAAGGAAGCAGACAAGCCTTCAGGATGAGGCTTCTCTTTCCAGAGAACTGGAAAGATGCATCTGAGATTCACCTGCATAGGAGTTTGTAGCACGACAAGAGGAGGATGTCACCCTTCAGAAGGGCTGTCTTGGATGGAAACTGCTCTGCTGATGGCTTCCCCTCGTTCTTGCAGGTGTGTCTGCCCAGCTGACCAGCACTCGTCTCCGTCGGAACACCTCCGTGGGCACCCCGTTCTGGATGGCTCCAGAGGTCAGCTTTCAGAACACTTTGTCACTGGTACTCGAGCTGCTGTATTCTGCATTTCTGCTCTTTGTCTTTCTTCCTGGTCTTTTCACCAAATGAAACAGCAATGTCCTTTTAAAAAGTGCTTTAAACCTTTCTGTCTTACATGTTTGCAAGAATTAAGTTAAAATTAGGTTTGTTTTTGAAATTGCAAGATTAGAGGCAGGGAGCAAGACTCTGAAATGCTTAGCTAAATGTTGAAGAATATAGAGTGCTACTATTGGTACTTTTCAGCCTTTCAAGCTCTGAAACTATAAATATCTCCCCATGGATGGAAGGAGCCCAGGGTGGTACTGAGAGAAATTATAGCTTCTATATTTTGACTTCTGCCCCTGGAAAGTTTTTGATACTATATATCCATACTTGCTTCAGCAAGAAATGGAAAAGGTTATTATGAATGAAGAAGATGCACTTTGATTCTGTGGAGGTTTTTCCTGACTGAAATTGAAGCATATACAGATACATTTTAAGCTGAGATAGGAAAAATATTTCCTTATAAATAAGCTTATCTACTTAGAGTATTTGTGTGCACACAAACACATGCAAGTACATCTGTTTATAGCGCATGAAACTAGTCTATTTATACATATTTATTTTTATCAAAACACTCTGTTCATACACATAGGTCTAGCCATATAACTAATGGTGTACATGTTGGTTTAGATCAGCACCTAATGGGATGAAAAATTCTAGATTTACCCAGCATTATGGATAAGCTGAAATGTATTTGAAGGTAAATGCTTTGCTGTGATCTAATGAACTTTGTCCACATCCACTTGATCTGGAAATTGGCTGATTTGGTTGAATAAGGACCCAGTAAGAGACAGTAAATCCAGCTCCTGCTTTCCTGATTGTTTCACTTCACAGAGAGAGCAGTATACTTACAATAATTACTTAGCAAGAATAATCCATATAAAGAGTTGTAGGGTTGCTGACTTTCCTTCTACTTCCTTTGTTATGGGATGGAATTTGTTCAGCTGAAAAAGACATGGATTTGTACCCTTTCTCCAAATCAGAGAACATCTGGCTGGAGAATGTGGTGTTCATGGACACCTGCTTTCTCTAGTTTAAACACTGGGGGGGTTTGGCAATTGGATGGATGCTTTAGCTTTTTAAATGTGTGCATATCTGTTTATTTCACTGAACAATCTATAAGAGATTCCTCTTACAGAGGTATGCTCTTAAATGGGGACATTTAACCATCCCAGACTTTTTCTTCCACAGGTGATTGCCTGTGAGCAGCAGCTAGATAGCTCTTATGATGCTAGATGTGATGCATGGTCACTGGGTATTACTGCAATAGAGTTGGGAGATGGAGATCCACCCCTTGCTGATTTGCATCCCATGAGGGCACTCTTCAAAATACCAAGGTAATAGTTTAATGTCTTTTTTTGTTGACGGGTTAGACTGAACTTTTTCCTTAAAGTTTGATTTCCAAAAGTTTTTGCTTCCCAAAAGTTTGCTTTCTTCAAACTTAGACCATGTAAGTTTGTGGACTTTCTTTATGTTATTTATACTAGGAGGCAGGTTTAAAATACATTGCCCAGTTGTATTTTCTGCAGGCTCTGCTTTAACCATGTGGGCACATTGAGAAGTTCAGAGCTGACTTTTAGCTACTTTTGAGAAAAAGTCATAGGGCCTTCTCCTGAGCGAGCTGCTGCTCACATGAATGCAGGACTTGTTTTTGTCTCGTATATTCTGTTACAAAGAATGACTTATGATAGAAATACAGGGTCCGAATACACAGCTACTGTGGTGAACAGGTCCCATATTTATTTTCAGGAGTTATCTTCTATCCTTTGTAGCAGAGGTTGTTCCCCCACTCATAGGCATTTAGGCTTCATCTTTTCATTAGCTTGTGCTGCTTCTGGCAGTTCCAATGTTGCTGTCCTTGGGCAGTGCAAATAGCAACTTATTTTGTGTTTTTTGCTTTGAAGCTGAAAATATAAGCAGGCAAAGTGCCACTTATGGCATTTCAAAGAACATCAATCTCCAAGACTGTAGGTAATGATCATACAGTAGTAGTTTGTGGATTTCATCCTAAGAACTGGAGCAGTACCACAACAGCTGAGCCCCACATAGCATATGTAAGTGCTTGGAGTCCTTTTCAGCCAAGACACCCAAATTAGTTTAAATTACTTTTAGTTTTAAGAAATCTTGGCTGACCTGGCACTGAAGCAGAGTATGAATGGTCTTCCTACCTTTGCTTGCTGTGGAAAAAGCAGTTGCAAACTATTGTGGTCAGTCACTGCAGCTAGGACTTCAAAAAAGCTTCTGGCTTATACTCTTACAAGCGCTGGGCACCTTTCTGCTCTGGAGCAATATAAGATCAATACTCTTTCATTCTGTTTAGTAAAACCTGAAAGCAATAGAGTAAACATTAAGCAGCACTTGAAGAAAAGCAGCTTTGGTTGATTGAAAAAAGACAGTAAGTCACCTTGTCTATTGGCTGGTCACTCCTTTTGTCTTCATGGCCATACTTAGTGAAAAGGGCATCTGTGAATGGAAGAAGACTGTCAAGACCTTTTCAACTGAAGGAACACCTAGAGTAAACAGCTCTAACAATAGAAAAGAAAGCAGTATGTCCATTTACAATAGATCTCTATTTAAACCTTCACTTCTGATTATCTTCTGATGAATGAAGAATAATTAATAAAGAACCAATTCCTTTGGACATTTTGTTCAGCAGGTTGATGAATTCAATCCTTCTGAGAAAACTTAAAATAGAATTGCTTTTTAAAATTTCTCTTAAGGAAGTATATTTTTTCAGGCTTGAAAATAGGAATTTGCCATTACAAGTGAATAGTGATTAATGAGTTGTTAGTTTAATTTCTTTTTATTGATTAGATTGAAAAAATCTCAGTGATTCTTAGCTACACTTGGTAGATTATCTCGATGCTATTTCTCCTTATTAGTTATGTAAAGCAGGAGAACCAATGAGGCATTGCATCATCTAGCCACGCTCCTTTTACCACTGGAAATCAATGTCTTTTTTCGGTGGCCTTCTAAAACTCATTACTCAGCCTGCCTTCACACATTGTTTTTGTCAAGTGAGTAGCTTATTAACTTATCACCACACTGACCTTTGCAGGAATCCTCCTCCAACGCTACAGCAGCCTGAACTGTGGTCACCTGAATTCAATGACTTCATTAACAAGTGAGTAACAACTGAGACCACTCTGGTTGAATATGGAACATGTGTAAATGTCATGTGTAAAGTATCTTTTGTGGAAATCTATTGCAACTAATACTCTCCCTTAAAAGGCTAGTTAGTAAATCCATTTGACTTCCAAGTGAAGCTCTGTATTTATGCATGAAATAGCATTTCAATACCCTTGACATTTTTTAAGTGAAAGAACATTTGTTTTTAAAATGCAATAATTTAACTTTTTGGACTTATCAATTCTGTGAAGTTGTATCAGTTTTTCGTGCAGAGCTATTTTGATTAAGACAGATATATTTATTATGGAGTCATGAATGAACTCCAGACAAGCATTTCAAAACTTAACTGCAAACCCTCAATGATCATGTGTTTTTTTTCTGCCAGCACAGGTGCTTGACTAAAGATTATGAGAAGCGTCCAACAGTATCTACTCTTTTGCAGCATGATTTTATTAAGCAAATTGAAGGAAAAGAAAGCACGCTACAAAGGCAACTCATGGAATTTATTGATGTTCATCAACAAATGGGAGTCACTGAAAAGGCAAGGTAATAGTAACTAAAGAGTGGACCAGTTGTGTCAGTTTTGATACTTCCACTGTTTCAGAATGACTAGCACTCAGAGAAAGATTCAACCCTTATAACTTTAGATGGCAAGAAAATGGAAAGTTTAGTATTTGGGGTTCCCTGTACTGCCAATGGAAAGAGAGAGGCATCATGATTCACATGTGGGATGAAACAATCTGTAGAAGTGCCTCCCCTTTTTTCTGTGACTCCAGATATAGTCTTAGACCCCAGCTTTTAGAAAGCTACGGTTAGATGAAATTAATGTTTGGCATTTTCATACATTTGCATGGTCAGCTAATGTTTAGTTTGAGCAAGTATGTTAAAATCAGCTGGTTGGGTTCCTGCAGGAATTGGATGTTTCTGACTGAAATAAGTGATGGTCCTAGCAGACTGTGTTTTGCAAACTTCAAATCTTATGTCTTCTTGAATGGAAACTTTCTTTCTTCCACTAGCATCTAAGTGATATCAATTCTGAACAAATCACTTAACAACTGTTGGCTTTTATTGAAAATACTTAAAAATGTCTTGGCTCAGTTTTACTATTGAAAAAATTCCTCACAGTACACATATGTATCAGATGTGAAATGTTGCAGAATAGTATTGAAGTGCTACTGGTGTGACTGCTCCTGCTTCAAGGAAAAGCACGATGCTTTTACTTTTTTTTTAATGGAACATGAAATTTAAAAGACATTTTGGCATTATCATTTATGTAGAAAAAGCTTGTTAAAATCTGCCACATTTCCTTTGACACATTTAGAGTAACAATATACACAGCAGTCTTCAGTTCTAGTTCTGGAGAATTTTCTATTTACTCTATGCTTTGAAGATAATAGTAAAAATATTTTTCTAAATAATTATGAATAATAATTATGAATAATTATGAAATTTTTTCAACTTTAACTGGATATGGGAGGAGTAGTGCTTTCCCTTTTGTGACATTGCAGTATAAAACTATGCATTTAGCTTTCATTTAAGCTTCAGACTGGATTTATATGCTCTATATATTGCAGACTTGACATTTACTTAATCCAGAAAGATTCTTGAATTCAAATAAGCTTATAGGATGTCAGTGCTGAGCACTAAACCAGCAACATAATCCAGACTTTAAATAGCATTTATTTAAAAAACACAGGGAAATGATATGTGGTAAAATAAGTCCAAACCACTAGGTTATATTAATTAAAATCTTGTTAACACTTGTGATATTAGTCCTTTTAAAGCCTAAATAATTTTGAAAAAAATCAAGCTTCCAGTCAATTAGATATTGGGACTTTTTTACCCATTTTAGAGAATTCACTTTTATTTTCATATTCTTTTTTTTCAAATCCTTTATTTTTTCATGTAAATGCTGCATAAAGAAAACTACATGAACTTTTTTTGTTTTCTGTACAATACAAACATAAAGAAAGTGGCCCAATTTGCATGTGTACAGAGCAGTCAAGTAGCACAAGAACAGGATGATCTACTGGTATTTTCTCTGTCCTGTTTACACTGTGTTTTATAAGCTGATGGCTCTTCATGAGAACTAGAATTTAAGGGAATATATTACCATGTGATGAAGTTACCTATACAACCTATACACTTGATCAACCTATAGTTGATCAAGTGTAATTTTTATGTGAAATTTCCCAAAGGAAAACAGAATTTTCTCTTTCAAAACAATAATAAAATAAAATAAATTACATCATTTCTTATCTGAATCTGTGCAAAAAATGTGCTTGTTTAATTCAGTGTGTAATTTAAATGGCAGGGTTAAACTGAGCATAGCCCATATTTCAATTTAGCAGTTTAAAGTACTAACAAGTAGTATTTCTAACCTAAATTATTTTGTGACTGTGCAGTTTTTTGAAATACACTGTTAGACTGACTACAGAACAGCATTTGTGTTTTTTCTGCTGTGAATGATAAGAGATTATGCAAAGGTTTCTAAATTCGGTAGTCATGCTTTTTTAAAAGTCTTTAGAGATACTAATTCTATGTATCTTCTGACCTTTAATCTGCATAAAGCAAATGGTGTTCAAGGCAATGTCTGTACAGAAGTACCATGTAAATCTGACTTGAAATCAAGACATAAGCATTATAGTGACAAGTCCCCTGGAAGAGCTGCTCTTTTCTTGTTTATGCTATTCTGGCACTGTTTTTACAGTAATGTGTTAGGGTCCTACTGTGAAATTTCTGAACTTTCAGCTGGCAACTTTCCTGGTAAAACTTCTTCCTGATCTCGAGCTTACACTCTCTCAGTCCCTAATTTGAAGGCATAACTCTCCTCCTTCTTGGCAATGGGAGTGACAGTGGGAGGCAGGTAGTTTAAGGGATTAAAGATCTTTTCCTTCTACTGAGGGAAGAAATCCTGCTACCTGTATGGTGTTGTATAAATGGGCATTGGAATATAAAGTCAATAAACTTGGTAATGTTGAGTTAAAGCTGAAGATTAGGAATATGGTTATTTTCTTTGTATGTGCTTACTCTCCTCATAAAATTTAATGCATTAATTGCAGTTTTGTATTTCAAAGGAAAAAAAAATTAGTAGCTGAAGTCCAGCCACTAGGTTTTATTGTGTGCACTGTTTCTGTTTTCACTCAAAATCAAGTGACCTTCTTAGCCCATTGGGCTGAGGTGCAATTTGGTTCTGACTGCTTTCTGCAGCAGTAGTCTGTTGATGTACTTGTGATCTTACCTTGCTGTTTGCTGAATGTGCAGTTCATACAGCTCAAAAAGAAAAGCTCATTACATTATATCACATTCTGATGGGTGAATGGGTTTTTTGTAGAGGGCCTTGCCCTCAGATCCTATCTTGTGCACTGTGTGTGCTCAGGAAGGATGGGAAATCTTTAGGCACAGAGTGGAGCCACCCTGAAGACTGCCATTGGCACCATTGTTCCTGAGGTATTTTCTAACACTGGGGAGTCACTGAGTGATGAGGGCCCTCAGAACCTTCCCAGTATTGTTATTCTAGTGAAGAGGAACCAAGGTTTAGGTCCTGCATTGTACTGCATCCTCTCAAGAGACGGAAAACGAGAAACAACAAGAGGAAGAGAGCCCACCAACCACCTGACTAACCAGAGAAATCTCAATTAACACTGATAAAACTTCAGATAGCAATGTGCCACAGCCTGGCTCCAGGTTTCATCGAAGTGATAGAAGGCAAAATAGTGGTTTTTCAGTAGCCTTTGAGCAGTGTTCTAGCACTAGAATGTCTTGTGCTACTCAAGACTCAAAAAAGCATGAATACTAGCAGTAAACTTCATTGAAAATTCCACTTTTTTAATTTGAGCAAATGCAGTACATTTTTTTCTAAAATAATCACATTTTTATGCTAAAAATATCTTTTTGCAACTTAACCTTACCTAGCTCAGAACTTAGGCTGCAATAACAATGGGAACAGCAGCAGAAAATATCCCTTGATACATTAGCATTTTCCATATTATCCTGACTATAGGATCTTTAAAATCTGCTGCTGGGAATAATATATGAACTATATATCAAAAATGCTATGTGAGATATGCTATATGGGCTAAATTCATGTTAGAGAAGAGGTGAAGCAGGCAGAGTTGCATACTAAGGGCAATTAATTTTGGAGGTTTTTTTGTGAGGAGAGTCACTTTCAGGACAGGGTCCCTGAGCTTGATAAAGGCTTTCAGTATAGCAGTATAGCTGTTAAAATTTATAATTAGTGATGAAAATAGTTATTAAAAATGAGTACTGCAGCATATACCCCAAAACAGTTCTAAAAATACACTTCTTGCTAGGCCAAAAGAGGGAAAAAATCCCTGCATTGTAAAGAATTTTACTCTGCAACAGAAATAGCTGTCTTTGAAACAACCTTCAGAACTGTCGCATCTACACCTGACAGTCAGGCTTGTAAGACTTTTATCTCGAATTGTTCGGCTGTCTTCTTCTTGACTGCTTTTACAATAATCTCTGCAGAAATATGCAATGATTAGTACATTGTGTATTTCCTGGGAATTGTGAGTCATTCCAGAAATGAGCTGTACATACGAGGGGTATTCAGTGCACCTAGATTTCAGCAAATGACTCTGGTCCCCAGATTAAGACTTATCTTTATATACTCTCTGAGTAATTATGGGAAAGAGACCTATTCTACTGCAAAATGATGCAAAGTTTTGGGTGAGCTGAATTATTTTCTTAGGAGTTTGTCCTCCTGTATTTGCCATATAGGGTTGGTATTGAAATCAATAACAGAGTCCTAAACAGTTGCTCTATTTAACTATTTGGAAAGGCCAGGGAGGTAATTTCATAGAAGTTCATGTACAACAAAGGTTGTTGTGAATAAATTGACCCCTATTAAAAGCAGGGAGTACCATAAAGTTTCCTTTTGTGACTTTTCCTGATTGCACAGACTTGTGTTGCCCATTTTCTGGGTGTTCACTCTGTCCCAGTCTCTGTGACTCATCCTGCCAGTGGAAAGCAGCTGACAGCAGCTGACAGCTGACAGCTCTGCAGGGCAGGCTGTAGGAGAGCATGGGAGATCCTCATGCTGGCTTGACAAAGACAATATGAGGAACAGTACAAATAGGACGCACAGAGTCCAGTCCTGTCTTGGCCAAGGTCTCCAGATGACATCTGGATGGGAGTAGTGGCTGAAATGGGGGGGTTTTAGAATTTGGATTCAATCTTTGATCCCTTCAGGCCAGTTCTTCTTCTCCTGGAACTCAGTGTGGGCTTTGTTATGCCAAGAGGTCTGTGCTTCTGCATTGAGGACACTCCATAGTTTGCTGTGCTGCAAACTTTTCTCAGGCTGTAGAAGCAGTAGGGAGTTCTAGGAACAAAGGCCTTAGAATAAGCAGATCTCCAGTCCCATAGCTAAAACACATCTCTGTATCTGAATAATGTTCTTCTATGTAACACAATGTACAACAGCAATGCCTGAATGAAGAATAGTTTACCTTCTGAAGAAAGGAGGAAGATGTTCCCCCTGCATTCAGAACTCCTCAGGAGAAATGCTCTGCAAGTGGTACTTTACTATTGTGCCAGTCCACTTGCTCAGCACCTCATTTCTCCTGAAGGTGGGACACTTCAGCAGGCATTTCATGCCCATGGAGCTTCCCCTTTATCATCTGGATATGGCTCTGAGCACAGGGCCTGAGCCTGACTCATGAGGAACTAATCCCAAAGAATCCTTTTAGAGATCTCCTATTTGCTCAGTTAAGAACACACACTTCCCCCTGAAATTTGTCAGGGACACAGATATTTCTTGAGGCTGTTGTGAAGGAATAATAATCTGCTTTGTTTACAGGTCATGGAAAAGCAGCACAAATTTTGTCAAACAGATTGTGCAGAGCTGGGCACAGGCCACCTCTGAATCAAAAGCCCCATAGCTCTGCAGGGCAACAGTGTGCTCTCAGAAACCTTGCAAAAGCTGCACAGCTCCCTGAGACTGCAGCCTGTAGTCTCAGTGCTGTCAATCATTGAAATACAGAAGGGAACGCAGGTTTGTCTGCAAAGCATTGTGCAAATGCAGCTGGAGGCTTATCACTGAAGTGTTACACTTTCTAAAGTCGGGTACAGATTTTTCATAGATAGCAGGCTGTAGTTTTATTTAGGCAGATTTCACAAGATATCTGTGAAGAAAAAAATTGGATTTTAAGTTTGAATTAATACTGCTTTGCTCAACCTCCAGAGAAGTAGAATCACCAGCAATGACAGATCCTGTAGAGGTTTCTCTGTGTTGCGTCTTTGTCATTTTACTGCCGTTTGTAACTGCTGGGAGGTGTACAGCTGTTTCCACCTTCACCTTACAAAAACCTCATTATTTTTAGTTTCTTCTGTACACTCAGACTAAGGCCAGCCCTTTTACTGTCACTTCTTAGTCTGTAGATGATTCTCCAACCAGTTTAGGCAGAGAGTTCAGCAGGGCATCATGAGTCACACTTTCCTTTTCATGGTATTTTTGGAACTATCAGAAATCTTTTAAATACATTCTGACAATCTGAAGAAAAAAGCTGTGGTTGCCTCATTTTGATTTAACTGAATCTTGAAAGATAAGTGGGGGGAGGGGAGCATTGATGTGAAAGAAAATGCACAGAAACAATGCTGCCTTGACTCATTTTCTTGTCCTTACTGCATTGAAGGTTCTGGCCTTTAGCTGCCTGAATTGCTTGTCAGGCATGCTTGTAAAATCCAATGCCTCCAATATATTTTTGAGCAGAACAGAGATACATGGTTATTTCAGTTCACAATGTCTATGTGCATGATCTTAATGAAACTTCAGCGCTGATGTCAACAGCACTGATGTGGGGTTTTTTTAAGTGGTTGGAGTGAAGCAGTATAACTGCCCTTGAGGGGTCTGTGCCCTTCGACAGCAAAGTGGAAAAATATTGTGTTCTGCAAATCTGCTACTCTTATGTGCTCTGGAGAATGGAGAATATAATCTAGCCCAACAAGCGCTAGTGTTCTCATAATGTCAGCTGAGGAGGATTACAGGAGGATCAATTTTATGTAATTAAACTTCCCTGGCATGCACAGAGATCTGTTTCCTTAAAAGAAAAAAAATAGAAAAATAAAAATGTCCATGACTGGAACATTCTCCTCCCTTCCTTCACAGCAATTGTTAGTTTCTTATATTAAATGAAAAATGGTAATTGAAACTAATCCTGGGAAATGCCACTCTCTCACTGATATGCAGTTATATTTAAGGATCTAACATATTAAAAAAAATGTGTTCAATGTGTAACAGTTCCACCAGAAATGGAAAGCAAAGCTTGACAGAAGCTTTGTTTTGGGTCTTTCTTCAGCAACAGAAAAAGCAGAACAATAGAGCTTGACATAGTCCTGCAATTCCCACATCTTTCCCTTGTATGCATATTGGTAGCTCTCTCTCAAAGTCACACTGATATTAGATGCATCTTCTGGACACAAAATGACCTTCATACAGGTACAAAGGAGAAATTGTTTCAGCTGTCCAAATTTAACTTTTTTCAAATGAAACTTTTAAAAAGAGGGAAAAATAGGAGTGTGAATTATAGACGGGGTAGATTTCTGTTGAGAGGGTAGGATATTGTCTGCACCTCTCACTTTGGATTCAGTAATGTCCTTTAGCTGCTAAATGCAAATCAAACAGCAACAGATCATGCAAAGCTGAGTTAATTTAAATCTTTATATTACCATGTCCTCTTTAATACTGCCTGGGGTACATGCTAACAAAAGTGGTCTCATACTGTTGTTGCAAAGACAATACTATCAGGGCAGCTCTCATGGTAAAATTGGATTCCAAAGGAAAGGGAAGAATAGGTCAAACCTAGAATAATGTAGATCCTGTCAATCCTTTTGCTTCATGGTCACTTAGCCTCCTCACTGGATACTGTGCTGCAATTTTGGCTCAGAAACTGTGAAACTATGGTAGCGCTTGCAAGGAAGTCTTACATATTTGTGTCTTGATATTAAAGCTGCAGAATTAGTCAGCTGTGGGTGTGAAGCTCCTGCCTTTGCATTGTGGACAATTAATAAACTCTGGTGGTATCTGGCACCTGCGTAAAGGAGAAAGACACTGGCGCCAGGATGAGGACAGGCCATTCTGTCATCCTCAGGGAATGATTGTTAGAGACAAGAGAAATTGAAAGAAGTGGTAGATGAAATGCACTCTGGTCTGGGTTTCCATCATGCAGATTGTGAGTGCACTCACAGTTTGGGAGGGCATCATTTGCCCATTTCTTCCAGTCCCTTTTCTGTCCTGGCAGACACCAGGGCTATTGCACCAAGTTGGTGCCTGCTTGAGTTTCTGCACCTGCATCCCCTATCAGTACACGGCCAGCATGACCTGAAGCAGCATTCATGAACTAGATGAGGTTGATAGAACAGGTACAGCCCATTAAATATGCAGTAAATCTGTGGGTGTTCAGCTTTCCCCATCAGTGTGATGTTCACTCACTCTAACTTTCCCTCTTGGTGCGACTACACTTTCTTCTGTCATCTGCTCACTGCATATCAAAATTCTTGCCTGTGTAGAAAACACCTGTCTGCTTTTATCTATGCCATATATCCAAATATCAAAATTAAATAAAGAATTTACCTGGTCTTGTCTGGGATCAAGGTAAAGAGTGAGTGCTTCACACAACAGTTTCCTGGCTGTCTCCGTTTACCAAGGTAAATGTTCCTTGTTTTTGAGAGGTGCCTTCCCACCAGTGGCATCAAAGGGATTGAGGTCATATCAGGAGATCAGATTTACTTAATAGTTTTCCTGTACTTTTGCCTTATTGCACATCTGAACTTGATTTAGTTTGTGAACTCTGCTGTTACTTACCCAGTTTCTCTTTCCCTTATTTTCCCTCATCTCATAAAACAAGTATAAGTAATATGAATTGTAAACCTTGCATTCTTTGCTGCATTTGCTCTATTTAGCAATGCCTTTACTCTTGGATAAAAAATGATCCAAGTCTCTGAGAATTTTCTTGCTAATTAAAATAAGGCTGCATAAATTTGGATTTATGGTTTGATTGAAAGAGAAATCTAAGACAAATGCAAAGTTAAACTTGAAGTTTAACCCTGCTAAGAAAGATAATTAAAATTCTGTTTCCTTCTCATGTATGACTTTTTCCCCTAGCAAGTCCAGGAAAATTTGATCAAGATGTATTTCACTTACCCCAGTGGTTCTGTAGCACTTTGATCTATAGTGTGATCATCTCAGCCAAACTTTAGAGCACTGTCATTACTAAGCTAAAAATGTTTCTGTCCTGACTGCTTTGTTTGCATCATCTTTGCTGTGCTATTTCATCATACACCTTGGGTTTTGTCCTATACATACTGTTAGCAGGATCTTTTTGCATGTTGGTCCCAGAGTTTCAGTCTTACGTGCTTTATAAATATGTTCTTTTTTTTTTTAACTTGTATTGCCAAGCTCCCATCTTACAGCTGATGTAGGGGTGTGATCTAAGCAGGGGTCTATAGAGTGTCAAAGTTCTTCATGGTAGCAGTTCTGGAAGCAAATCACAGCTTTTGAACTGTCAGGTACTGCTGTGCTGTACCAAGAAGTTGACTTCTGTATTGTTTTTCAAACATTTGTGTGTTTAAATTCAGAACAATGGAAAGCAAGACTGTTTTGGCCTTCAAGATGGTTGCAGGTGCAAGATCTGCTCTGTGTTGCCTTACTTCAGGAGATTGTATCTCTTTCTTTTCTAGATTTGAACGTATTCACACAAAGAAAGGGAACTACAGTAAGTCGCTAGTTTCAAACCAAGAGGAGGTAGATGATTTAGCAACCTTGGAGGTACTGGATGAGGTAAGAACCTCTTTTTTCATGTTTTCCTGAAGAGGAGTAATCACATATTAAATTGCAATGGTGTGCTGTTGATTTTCAAATTCAACTGTCACACTCCAGTTGTGTAACATTTCACCACTTTATGCCAAATATTTTAGACAAGATTTACTGTGTCAGAAAGGTTTCAGCTCAAAGCTAAAATAATCTCTGGAGTTACAGCCATAGACCAAACAGTATGGTAACACCATTGACTAAACAGGATTTATATCACTGGGTTTTACTACAGCTAAGCATCCAGTTTGCAATGGTGTGTGAACCTGAAATTGGTCTAGGTCCAAGACCTTCCATCACTGTTGCTTGAGTACCAAGAGCTGCCTTAAACTAGCTCACCATACTCTCCCAGATTAGGTTCTCACTGACTTATTTAGGTGGGGAAATGCATGAGGGTCAATTTATGTCAGCTGAGCCTCTCATCTGTCAATGCCTGGTTTGTCAAAGCTCAAAAATTAGTCCACTGGGTGCAGGGAAACATGGTATAAGGGAGGGAGGAGGTCTGCTGTGTTTATGCTTTAAGCTTCAAAACCAGAAAGAAGAATCAGGCTGCAGCACATTATCTGCAGGTCTTGGAGGCCATCAGTGGTTGTAAACAAACTGCCATTCTTCATCTGCTGGGCTGTGCATAGACTATAATTCACATTCTCTTATCTGTAAAACTTCTCTGGTATATTGTACCTTTGTCAGTCCAGAATATTCATTGTGGCACTTGAGCTGGCAAACTGTGTCATGCTGACAGCTCACAGAACATCTTCCATCTGCCCAAGAGCTTTGTTATAGCTTGATGTTTAGTTAATTGTAATTGAAATAACCCAAAATTCATCTACTGGACAAAGTTCAGGTTTAAGCATTTTTTTAGTATTAGGAAGAATAAGACTGCTGTGGGGTTTTTTTCTCTTTTACCATGATACATATAAACAATCCAAGCTAAAGAGATTTTATTGCACAAAAAAATCCCAGACTAACTGGAATATATCCCATCTCCTAAGAGATGGAGCATTCTCATGGAAGTCCTCAGGAAGCCTCTGTTTAAATGTTTGACAATGTGGTGTTACTAAATCAAATCCAATTAAAACCACTTTCACATATGAATGGCAGCTTCTCAGAACTGTATTCTTTCTTCCACTCATATTTTTTCTTCCAGTTTAGACATTCCCATCATCAGATCAAGACAAGAGACCTTTTTTCTACTGGTGCAATAAATAATTTCAGAAAGGGCAGAAGTTCCCCTAAAATAATTCTGTAACGTGAATATGGTTTTGGCAAAAAGGAAAGAGAGCGTTCAAAACCAAAAAGTTTATCAAGGCAATCAAAAACCAAGATTTTTCTCCATATGTTTTCTCATGAAGGAAATATAGCCTCTGCAGCTGTTGAAAATTCAGCTTGAAAATGTATTAAACAGGACACAGTGTACAACACTGTGAATAGATAGATGAGGAAGGAAGGCAATTCCTTCTGTAGTCCTCTGCTGCCAGTTGGTCTGTTCCAGTGGTTATGGAGCCTAAATATTTCCACATGTACCCCAGATTAGTCTCAAGGCTGGTTGAATTTCTTCATTCAGCTCTGTGGCCTGTTTTGATTGGAAACCTAACCAGGCACTTGATATACCCAGCTGTGTACGCAGAAGAAGCTGAGGGAAATTACATCAGGAAATTTGAATGCCACTAATGGGCCCTTCCCTTTTCTTGGTTCAGGGGAAACTGGCTCTGCAATAGCAAAGAACAATCACAGCAGAGGCTGCTTGTTAATAGGGAAAGATGCATCATTGTTTACATTAATGGGAAGAAAACAGTTGAACATCTGTGTTGTATCCTAACTGAGAGTAATGTTAGAGCAGCTGTAATGGCAGTTATGCACTCAATCAAAAGACTCTTGCTTGATAAGTTACATGAAACTTTAGTAGTAGAAATGTAGACAAGACTGTCTCATGGAAACATCTGATGAACTGAATGAAAGCAGTGCTTAACTCCTTTTTCTACAGCCATTTGAAGATCTGTAAGTATGTATTGTTCAAAGTAGGACAAAAAATTAGAAATGCCGGTGTGTTTGAAGATATTACTTACTTTTGATCATGATCCATTGTACTCCTGACTATAAATACCTTCCCTCCCCATCCTCGCCCATTGAAACTATATAAATATTTTATACATTTTCCTTGCATTCTTTTTCCCCCCATGTGATTGATGGTTTCTGTTCCCTCTCCACCAGAACACAGTAACGGAGCAGTTGCAGAAGGGTTATGCCAAGGACCAGATCTACACATACGTTGGGGACATTCTCATCGCTGTCAATCCATTTCGGAACTTAGATATTTATTCTGCACAGGTGTGAAAATTTAGGTTTTATTATTTTAAACTAGCACCAAATTCCACTAAAATATCAATATTTGCATTGACTATAAAGTAAGACCATTCTTGAGATTTATTTTAGCTTACTTTGAAAAACAGAATTACCAGTAGAGATGTTCTTTCAAGTGCACATTGACACAAATTCTTAAGACTTGCTGAATTTCAGCACAGAAATGAGAAACTCCAAAATAATTAATTTGTAGTGTCTTTATGTCTACAGTGTAGATCATGTGCAAAGCAATCCTGTAAAATGTTAACTGCTGTGAATCTGTCTCCTTATTATACAAAAGGGAATTTGGGTCCCTATTATACAAAAGGGGAAAGATATTAAATTCAGATCATGCAATAATTTGTGGTTATTAATTATCAGATACTACAGCTGCAGAGAAGATCTCAAGTTTTAACATCAATACCATGCAGAGATACTAATAGGAAGGGAAGCACAAAAAAATTTAAATAAGTTGAAACCATGATGTCTGACAACAGTAAATTTTCTCCTAATAAATTTAGTTTCATAAAGTAATCAGGACTAAAATTCTAGAAAATTGCACTTCATTTTTTAGCAGTTCTTATAGTCCCAAGTACATACAGATTCATGGTATAGTGAGTGCAGTAACAGCTCTTTTAGAAAACATCACTGCTGGAAACCTCAGCATGCTGTACACTAATCTAAAAATAAAACCAAACTTTAAAAAAAAGATTTTAAAGGACAGTGATAATGCTTTTATTTTTCTTACACTTAGCATTCCAAACTGTATATTGGAGCCAAACGGACTGCCAACCCTCCTCACATTTTTGCTATTGCTGACATAGGCTATCAGTCCATGGTGACATACAACTCTGACCAGGTATGGATGAGGTGTCTTAATTACATCCTCTGCCAGGCTGAGAGATATGTGATGAGCTCAGTCTTGCTCTCTTCTCTGCAGTGTATTGTTATTTCTGGAGAAAGTGGAGCTGGCAAGACACAAAGTGCCCATCTGCTGGTGCAGCAGCTCACTGTCCTTGGCAAGGTGAGTGGCAGAGGGGGTGTCTCTGTGAGGCTTTAAGGCTTTGCTATCCTGGATCTAAAGGGCTGAACCCATGGACAGGGCATTGGTTGTGGGGTGAGACTGCTCCCAAAGAACATTTTCCAAAGAACATTAGAACATGATGCTCATCTATCTACTCCTTCCTCCCTCCTAGAGTGATTTGGAAATATGCTGGGGTTTCCTCAACAGAAAGTACCCACTGCAATGAGGGCTGTGACTTAAGTCAGATCCCTGTTTGATTGAGACCCTTCAAGTCATCCAAGCAAGCAGTACTAAACAAAATCTTCTTCTTGCTTCTCATCTTTCCACAACCAGATTTCTATCAGTAGGACATAGTCATTCTGGGAAGTAGCCACCATAACTGTCTAAATAAAATGCCATTTTTAGCATGCCCGAGGTGAGATGAAAGCAAGCTAATGGATCGGTAGGGTGCAGTGGAACAGTAACCAGATACTAACAAGGATCCTAAAAGCAGATTGGCCATCTCAGAGCCACAAAACCACAGAAACCATAGAAATTAATTTATAGTGTTGTTATCATTATGTGTGTTATTTCTTCCAGACAGCCTTAGTTCTGAGAATTGCTATATTCTGGCAGATTTCATTTTATATATGTATATATATATATATATATATATATATATATATATATATACACATTTATCTATGTACATATATATATGTATATGTATATATATGCTTTTTTCTCCATATAATTATAATTTCCATGGGAATAGCTGCCCTGATTATGTCACACTTCACAATACCAATGAGAAGATTAAAGGAGCACCTAAAAATGCATTAATTTGAATAATCGCTGATAATTTGAAACAATGTCTTTTTCATATCCAGGCTAATAACAGGACTCTGCAGGAGAAGATTCTCCAGGTGAACAACCTTGTAGAAGCATTTGGGAATGCAGGCACTATCATCAATGATAACTCAAGCAGATTTGGAAAATATTTGGAAATGAAATTCACTTGTGGGGGCACTGTAGTAGGAGCTCAGATTTCAGAGTACCTCCTTGAAAAATCCAGAGTTGTCCACCAGGCAGTGTAAGTATGAAAGTTGTATTTGACCTATTTTAGGGGTTACAGAGTAGGCCTATGATGCAGGAAATCATCTTGGTTGAAAACATAAAGATGAATGAGGTACCTGGATGTTTTTCCTTAAAAGTTGTATATGAATAGCTTCTGAATCTGTAAGCTAGCTGAAAACTACTCCAGATTTTTTTTCCTTGCCTCCTGGGTTATTTAAACAAATCTTTTAAAAATGCCCATGTGCTACATAAAATAAGAATGTGCAAAGAATTAAAAACTTCCTAATAGTTCAGGTATACATTTCATTGTGGGATTTTGGAGTATTGTGTAAAGTGTATCACTTGGACTTGCTTCCTCTAAATTTCCTGTAGTATTGTAGCTTATTTCTTTGTTTGGTTGTTTTCTATTTCTGAACATCGAGTAGGATTTGTTTATAGAGGATTATGGGTCAAAGATTCCTGCCAAGAAGGACTTGGGGGTGCTGGTGGGTGAGAGGCTGGCCATGACCCAGCAATGTGCCCTCCCAGCCCAGAGAGCCAAACCTGCACTGGGCTGCATCAAAAGCAGCCTGGGCAGCTGGTCAGGGGGGAAAATCTGTCCCTGTACCCTGTTCTGGTGAGACCCCACCTGCAGTGCTGCATCCAGCTCTGGGGTCCCCACTACAGGAAATATCTGGAACTGTTGGAGAAATTCAATAGAAGGCCACCAAGATTATTAGATGGATGGAGCAGCTCTGCCACAAGGAATGGATGAGAAAATTGGGATTATTCAGCCTGGACAAGGGAAGGCTTTGGGGTGGCTTTGGGCTTTGCTGCCTTCCACCTGAAAGAAGCCTGCAAGAAAGATGGATAGAGACTATTTTGCAAGAACATGTAGTGACAGGATAAGGGGCAATAGATTTAAATTGAGAGAGAGCAGGTTTAGATTAAATTTTAGAAAGAAATTCTTTAGTGTGAGGATGGTGAGGCACTGAAACAAGTTGCCCAGAGAAGCTGAGGATGCCTCATCCCTGGAAGTGTTCACAGCCAGGCTGGATGGGTCTCTGAGCAACCCAGTCTAGTGAAAGGTGTCCCTGCCCATGACGAGGAATTTGAAACTAGATGATCTTTAAAGTCCCTCCCAACCCAAGCCATTCTATGGTTCTATGATCTAATGGTGCCCCTGAGACATAGACAAAGCAGAGGTTTGAACACAATTCCTTTTTGCCTTTCAGCGGTGACTGACTCGGGCATCTCAGGGCTCAGTCATGGTTGCAATTTTTCACCTTGTTTTTTCTCATAAGGAGCACAGGAACCTTGAATATGTAATAAACCTCTGCCCTAGGCTTGGGCATATAGCTTCTAGGCAAAGCATGCCAAGTCATAAGGCCCTTGTGCTGAATGTCTGCTTGTTGGTTCAGGACTAAAAGACACAACAGACCTTCTGCATTCAGTGAACCAAAAGCGTATACCTCTCACACAGTCAGAAGGTTTTTTGAAATAACTGGAGTTAAGCAGCCATTCAGTGTGGGTGGGTGAGGAATGTGCAAGATCTCGTAGAGGATCTACCAACTGCATCAAGGGCAGAGCAGCACTGAGCTGCTTTAGCACTGAGCAGCTGCCCTGGCAGTGTCAGGACAAACACAGAATGGCATGAAAAGGTGTTCACAGGAAGTTCTGTAATAAAGCATCTTTCAGAGTCCTCTGTCACTTTGTGCAAATCTTGCCTGTTATTAAAATAACATTTAGTAATAGTATGTGTGTAATTAATAAATGTAGCATGGTTATATTACTAAATCAGTTTGTTGTTTCTGTTGTTTCAGAGGAGAGAAAAATTTCCATATTTTTTATTATATTTATGCTGGTCTCGCAGAAAAGAAAAAACTGGCACATTATAAACTGCCAGAATATAGACCTCCCAGGTAATGCAGTTTATTTTTGCAGCAATTGATTACTAAGAAACACGGTGTTGAATTCTCAGCCTTGTTTACATTCTAACTCTGTATCCATCAACTCTTTCAGATATCTGCAAAATGACCATTTCAGAATAGTGCAAGATTTCATGAACAATAGCTTTTATAAGTCTCAGTTTGAATTAATAGAACAGTGCTTCAAAGTCATAGGTTTTACACTGGAGGTGAGTGCTGATAACCCTTTTTGTTTGTGAACTTCACCAGCTACCTTAATCAGGAAAAGCTTGTATGAAGCATTCAAATCTCCCTTGTTCCTTTAGCATATTGTGTTTGTGTTTTAGGATCTTGCATGGTCAACTTACTGTTATATAGTAACATTTAAATTTTTAAGGTTTCAAGGCATTGGTAAACCAATAAAATTATATTAGCCAACAAGGCTTTGAAATCACTGAACACAGCATAGCTGAGTAATTTGGGGAGGGGGGAGATTTTAACAAATTTAATGCATAGGAAATTATGTTGTAACTGTTTATTAGCCAATAATTTTAGGCCTGTGAGTATGAGCCTCATCTCAGTTTTAAGAGGAGGTCCATGGTGAGAGTTTTAAAAATTCATTGAGCTGATCTGAGTATTGATGAACTCAATACATTTTCACAACTCCGGGGATAAAGTTGATTGAAGTTCTTAAATCCTTTTGGAGATGAGTCTCATCACTAAACAGTAACTGAACCCATTTTTTCTTTATAATCTCATATCATTGCTCAGCTAGCTATTAAACCCCTCTCCTCAGTCTGTCTTTGGTAGAATTAAAATTAAAAAAGGACTGGATTTATAAAGGAAAAAAATCCCATTCTGTGACCTAGTTTTGCCTTACAAGAAGTGATGCATCACAGGTGTCATTTATCTCTGATTTTATTTATAAAAAAATAAATAGTAGAGGTATGAACCATACTGTATCTGTGAAATATAGCACTAGTGCGTCAGAATGGATGTATGTTTTCATTTCTCTGACAAAACTGTATGTGGTAAGAAGCTTTTCACAGAAAATTGCTCACTTCTGTTGACTGTTTCTGGCTTCCCTCAATGTAAATATTTGAAATAGCTAGCAGAACAGATGTATTCACCTATTTTGTTCCTTTAGAGTCACTTTTCATTAGGTTGTAGTAGCAGTGGCATTCACAGTCTCTTTCTCCTCTACATGTTATTCACAGCTGCATTTAGTAATATCACACCTTTGCTATCACATCCTTTCACTTGTGCTTTCACCTTTCCAGAAACAGCGTGAAAAGACATTCATGATTCAGCACTGATAGCAGTTTTGTCACAGCACCAGAGACCTTGATAAGTCCTAATTTAAAGCATGAAAAGCAGAAAGTCTGTTTTTGTTTCCAGCTCTTTTGTTCACTTGGATGGGTGGAAACAATAATCTTGATCACCCAAAAGAGGCCTTCCACATACATTGAAGATGCAGTTAGAAGCAGGTCACTGGCCGCATTGTGCAGTTCTAGCATGGGTCTTCACTTGATTAACTCAGCAAGCCACTGGGAGCTGAATCTGTGAAGAACTATCCACCTGTAGAGCCCTGCACTTTCAGAAGCAGGCTGAGCGCCATAGGCAATCTGCTTGTGGCTACTTGTGAGCCCCAGCCATGTCAGCCTGCCCTGAATCCTCTGAATGAACCTGTCCGAGGCTGTGCTTGCAGGAGTGAAGGAAGAGTCTTCTTCTCCCAGTGAGGTTCTGATATCGGATACGTGTGCAAAGACAATCTTTTTCAGTGAAAAAAATATCCCGTAGGACATTAAATTCCTTTCCTAAATTCACTTTTAGTAATGCAGCCTTAAGCTTTGACATTCATCTCAGTGCACAGAGGAACTTCTATATAAGGACGTTCAGTGTTTTATTAGCAGAAAGCCATGGACAGAAAAAATCTTGAGTTAAAACTGAGACCTAAACAAAGCTTTATTTCTTTGAAATTTGCTTTTAACTGACTGACAGGCTTTAAAAGTAACTACTGTCGGTACTCCCTGTCTTCAAATCACAGTTTTATTTCAGGCTGCACAGCAAAATTAGTAAGAAAGGACTGCCTGAGGGGAACAATAATTATGTTGTATGAGACAGATCAAGCCAGATTTCAAGCACACTGGAAAAGGGCAGAAAAATGTCAGCAGTTATACATATTGTACAGCATGATGGCAGAAGTTATGCTATCCATTTCTTTGCATTTCAACTGTCCCTAAGCTTAAAATGAAAATGAGTACTTAATCCTAAGTAAACTGTGTGCCAATTATCCTCAGCATAATTTTTTAGAGTGAGTTTATCCAGTTTGTCTTGCTGTCACTGGAATCACTATTTATTAACTGCTAGATTAACTTCTGAAAGTGTTGAAAACAAGCTCAAGTATTCTAAAGCAATTAGAGATTTTATCTGAGTAAATGATGCCTGACATGGTACCAACAAAGGATTGAATAATATGGATAAAATGCTATGAAATTATAAAAAGTTCATAGTTATAAAATACCAATCAGATTTTCAAAACTACTTCTTATAAAACTGCTACAAAAGTTTTCAACCTGCTATTTATAAATTATACCATTACTGTATGCCTCAAAACACACAGTGTTACAGACTACTAGTCTGCTTTACAGGTACACCTAGAATTTTCTGAGTAAAAACACTCAGATCATCAGGTATAATGATAAACCTTCACCATTCAGATGAAAATTTGCAGTTAAAATCTAAGTCCAACCTGCAATGAAAGCATTATTTTACTAACTTCAAATATTATTTGAAATTTATGTATTTGTGTATAGGTACTTAATTTACTGACTATATCACTTCACTGTCCAGAGTAATAGCAGCCTTTTTCATGACAGAGTCCCTTTTCACAGAATCATGGCATTAACTAGATTGGAAAAGATCTTTGAGATCATCAAGTACACCCTATAACCTAACACCACCTTACCGACTAAACCATGGCAGAACCTCCCAAATGATTTGAAATCTAAATTTGTTTAAGCAAAGTCCATATTAAGATGCTTTGGTGAGCTCCTAACTGATATTTTGAAGGATAAAGTGCTTTGTCAAATCAGAGATGTGAGGCCTCACTCTTCTCCTAGTGAAACTTTTTCTGATGAGATTGGTTGGAGATGATACAGACCTAATATTTGGAGTACCTTGTTTCCATGATGCAGGAAACATCAATACAGATTTTTTTTCTACTTTTTGTTGATCTAGGTATTAAATCTTTTGACATGTTTGCCCCTGCAGATACAGTGAAGAGCAGCTGTAAATAACCTCTGAATTCTTTCTGAGTAAGGGGGTATGCACACCATTTTTATTTCCTTACTTCCTGTCAATCCTGTCCTGTCAACAAGTACAGAAGAGAGGTTGGGCTATGGTTTGACTTGTCCTCTTTGACTGTCTTACTCTTGAAAGATTTGGCTAAGTAGAGAATGGGAATAATTGCTGAGAACAGCACTCCTAGAAGTAGTGGGCACGTGGCAGACAGCAGGAAACAACACACATGTATATGCCCATGGCACAAACCACAGAGACAAATTACCTGGCTGTTAAGTATTGCATTTTTTTAATATACTTTTCAGGAACTTGGAAGTGTGTACAGTATCCTGGCTGCCATTTTAAATGTGGGTAACATTGAATTTTCTGCAGTAGTATCTGAACATATGATTGACAAGAGCAACATTTCCAATCCAGTAGCCCTTGAGAACTGTGAGTGGTTTTTTCTTGATTTAACATTGTTTTTCTTTAGTTTTCGTTGCAAATTTATTTTATTGTAAAAGGTATCAATGAAAACTGTATTCCCATGGAAATTTTGCAAGAATAATTAAAAACTGAAGGTAGATTAATTCTAATCCCACCTGAATTCAAATGCAAAAAAGAAAAAAATTTCCATGTTATGCATCTTATTTGACTAACCAGTTCACTGGCATACAGGAAACATGACTAATACTGCAGATGCCTGAAAAAAATCTTTGGAATTTTTCCAAGGTTATTTGAACATTTGATGGAGAACCGCATTAACACATTGAATAGTTTTTTCCCAGTTTCTTTCTCAGCTGCTCATTACTTGTTCCCCACATGTGCCTGTGGAAATATGGCTCACTAATTCTTTGGAAGGGATTCCTTACATTATAAGCTGCTAGGAGGTAGAGGAGGCAAAGGGGCAAAGGTTCTCCAGAAATTTGCTACACCTTCTCAGTAATTACACCTGGCACCTGGGGAGATAATGAAGTCTTCACACTATCTTCTTGCATGTTTTCTTGCCATAGAAAAATATTGTGGAACAGGGAAAGAAGCACCCCTTTTTTGGAGCAAAAGGAGAACAGCAGTGACTTGTACGAGTGGGTTATAACTGAGAGGGGTATTCACACCTCACAGCTTGGGTACTTCTTACACAGTCACCTGCCAAAATCTGTCTGTGAGCTATGCCTGTGACATTCCTTCCCAGGTGCATCCCTGCTGTGTATTCAGGCAGATGAGCTGCAAGAGGCCCTCACCTCTCACTGTGTAGTGACTCGAGGAGAAACAATTATTCGCCCCAACACTGTGGAAAAAGCCACAGATGTCAGAGATGCCATGGCCAAAGCACTCTATGGGCGCCTCTTCAGCTGGATAGTCAATCGCATCAACACTCTACTCAAACCTGACAAACATTTAAGGTAAAAGGAGATTTTGTAGAATAAAGAGATATTCTTTCTGTGGTAATAATGTTGTCTTACACTAGACCATTTCGTGTAGTTCAATTCTTTTCCTCTGCTGCTTTTTTGTTTGTGACCCCACCATGTCGAAAATGGTTTGTCCTGTTCATAGTATACAGTGAAAATACCGTAGATGAGGTTGGAAAAGCATCTGGCGTTTTCCTGTTGATCTTTACTCATTTAACCTTTTCTTTTCCGTTTGTATTTTTAACCGTTTTAACTTTTAACCCTTTTTCTTTTGTATTTTTTTTTCAGAGTAAACTTTTGATATTCATCATAGGTCAAATTCTGCTCTGATTTACACTGGTGCTGTTGCTTTTGTCACTGTTGTTATAAGCATGGTTTCATATATGTGTGGGAATAGTTTTTAAACATATTTACTGGAGGTATTGTCCACTTTACCTTTAAAAGGTGACATTTTAAACACCATGTCAATAGCAAATGGCTTTGGTTTGCAGATCTGGATTTCCTGGATTTTTTCTTTTTAAACATCAAAGAACAGCCAAGGTGGCAAACCTAAATTTTGCCTAAACTTTTAAGTATTTGGTTATAGCAGAGAAACAATAAACAGAACTTTAATCAGTAAGTGATAGGATAAAATCCATTATAGATGGGGCAGCACTTCTAGCCTGTGTACCTCTCTCAGTTGTCTGTTACAGAGCCCGTTTCAAACTGAACACTTACTTATTATGCTGGTGAAGAGGGAGAAAATTCAACCTGAAATGCTCACTATTAAAAAAACCCAAACAACTTTTGCTTGATTTTGTGGTAGTAAAATAATTTGCATTTTCTGTTTTTATGTAATTAGCTCTGAAAAAGGAATGAGGCAGATAAATTTTAGCAGTCTATTAATCAAAAATGTAATTTTGAGACAGATTAAATAGTCACCAAATTCAGATCTCTCCACAATGGAATGCTTCCTTTTTTGAGATGGACTTCACAAAAAAGTTTAAGTGTTACTCATGAGTGTCTTTAGGCTGATTCTTAATTTCTGATTTCCTAAATCTCTATTTAAAAATTGGTTACAGATAGCCCCTCAAAGAGGTTTTATAGAAAGAATGTGATTTATATTTTACTTGCCTAGAAAGGTCACTAATGTCAGCCTCAGTTTGTTATAAAATTATATCATCTTAATTTTTTGCTTCAGCAAATAAGTATTAGAGCTTTTTTCCAGTTGCAGACATGGTCACATATCTTGAGTATGCCCTACTTAAAATATCAAACCAAAGTTTTGCCAGTGCTTCTCTGGATTTTAATTGGTAATTTAAATTCATACTACATCCCAGTGCATAAAGTAGCTATTTAGCTACATAAAAGGTCTAGCTAGTCATTCTTTCTACTTTAATGTTAAATTAAGCAATTTTAATTGTTATGAGTAAGTAATATGAACAAATAATACTAAATGACAACAGTCTTTAATTTAAGGATGCTGGTGAGTAAAGCTTGTGTTATTCCAAGAGAAACAAAAAGAACTACATGTTCTTTTTGTACTGTAGTCAACTTTTTAGAATAATTACTTACAAATATTAGTGTAAGGATAAAATTGTAAATCCCCTATTCACTTATCAGTTGACTTGGTTGTTGTGTATCTGGTCTGCATTGCAGTAATCTTTGAATTGATCTGCATTTATGTATTTCAAACTAACACCTCTTGTCATTTTCAGAGAGATCTGGTTCAGCAAAACCTATCCTGTCTAACTGGTGTACAGATTTGGCCCATGATTTCCTTTTGTGAAATAGTAATGAAGGTAGTTAATGAAAAATAAAGATACGACAATGAAAAGTATATTTCATCTTTGCAGTGAAAATGATGATGGCTTGAATATTGGAATTCTCGACATCTTTGGCTTTGAGAATTTCAAAAAAAATTCTTTTGAACAACTGTGTATCAACATTGCCAATGAACAAATTCAGTTCTACTTCAATCAACATGTCTTTGCCTGGGAACAGGTATGTGTTGGTTATTTGGATTAAGCTTTAGTATTACTAAACACATCAAATATACAGCTTTCAGTATTACTGAATGTATAAAACCTTGTCTCAAGAAACTACATTGTTCCTTCTCCATGATAGCTTGTAAATAGCAGATCTTAAAAAATGTTTTTTAAGTATGTTTTCCATGAAGCAGTGCTTGCTATTTGCAAGTAAAATGCCAACATAAAATGCATTAAACTTGAAATTTACAGTAACTAAGCAACATAACATTGTGCACTGTGATAATCTGATTGATGCAAATGCAATGTTGTTTTCTTGAGGAATAATGAGTGTTGTAATGTATGATTCTCTAGTAAAAAAGTAAATGAGTGGTAACAAAATTTTGAAAGTGCAGGGTTAATAATAGTTTACTAATATGCTTAATGAACACTGTAATTCCATTATTAAAACCTGCAAATCTCACAATTATTTCTTTCTTCTTGAGAAACTAGATCATATCAGCTGTATAATGATGGATTTAATCTCAGTAATTTGCTTTAAAGCAGAGAAAAGGAATAGCATTGTAAATATAAAAGTTTATGAATTTGGAGAGGAGAGGGGAAAAATGTCAAAAAATCATCTCAACTTTGTAAATAATTTCAGGAGAATTAAATTGACCCCCTTTAAATCATTATTCAATATTGTTCTTTGAAGAAATAACATTTCAAAGGGAAAATAAAAGATCTTGATGAAAATTTAAATATTTCAGAGTTCTCTATGGCAGAACAATCAGAATTCAAACCATAGGTGAAATTATACTTTTGTTGTTTTACTGAAATTATTTGGTTTATGATACATGTATTAATATTCTCCTGAATTGTAATTTTAATTGTTAGTAGAAACAGAGTATTTTGTCAGTCAGAAACAGTTAATCACTGTGTCTCTAAAGGCTGAGACAGATACAGGTTTGGAATGTGTCCATGTATGCAGGTGTCTACGTGCATGTACATGCATGTGTCAGTCTAGAGGTGTATACATTATGTGTAATATGACAATCTTTTTTTTTTGGCTCAATGTTTTATCCTCTTCCCGATTATTTCAGGAGATGTTGTCTTGCAGTCCTGAATCTTGTAGTTGTTTTTATAGAGTTATGTGCAAGATTACCAACACAGGTGTTTCCTTGGTTTTAATATCATCTGAGAACCAGAGAAAATTTACTAGATCTACTGTAATAACTTGGGCATCTTCTTTCCAAATTACACAAGTTCACAAAAGAAGGGCACTTGGATATTGCTGTTTCTAACAGTTGGGAGATGGAAACAGCACAGACTGCAGCATCAGTATTTATTCCTGTCAGAGCCAGGCACTGACCAGGTCCCATGGACTTGCATATGTCCACTTTGCTTCAATGTTCACTAACTTGATCCTCCCATGCTAAATTTAAGTCTTCCTTGCTCCAGAATTTTCCCCTGGTCTCAGGGACCTGGGATTATCAGTCAAGACCCATGCAAAGAAGGCATTGAATATCTCAGCCTTTTCCGTGTCATCCACAAACTTGTTCAGCAGCAGGACCACATTCTCCCTAGTTGCCTTTTGTTGCTGAGAGACCAGCCTTGGCATTCTTAGCCCTATTCCTGCACCCAAATAATGTTTTAATCTTCCTTTTCTTTTTTAATTAGAGTCAAGTTTAGTGTAATCTGCCTTTACTTGTTTCTAGGTATCCTATTTCAGAACTTTTTGGCCAGACCTATATTATTGCAGAGGTTTGAGGTGTCACTGTGCAGTAGGAACAGTTTGCTCCCTTGCATGTGCTGTGCTTCACCATGGTCAGAGTGGTTATTCTGCTACTGAGCAGGTGGGGGGAAAAATGAACTTCTTATTTTGACAATATATAGTTTGCTCATTTCTCCCTGTAGGAAGTTAGTCCAACTCCTCTATAGACTCCATGAAAGGGAAAGGTAATCTCTATTTACAGAATCTCTAAGTACATCAATTTTACCCATTTCCATTCATTCTCTCACAGATTACATGGACTCACAGATACATAGAATGCACCATGGTGTGGGTGGGTGGGTGTGTCTGTATTCAAATGGTCTGGCCAAGAACATTTCTGAGTGACATGTAGAATAATGGACAGCAGCTGGCAAGTCTTCATCATGTCTCTTAGGTTCTTCTTGCTAAAATAGCTTTTGGACATATCCTTTACAGCCTTTAGCAGTCATTCTTTGCCTCAAAGATATTACTACAGGAGTGCAGAATGAACCATGCAGATTAAGTTCATGCAAGTGTGGGTGTAAATCTGCCCCTTTCAGAGACGGGAAATGAGAAATGTGTTATTCTGCATTACAACCCAATGGCACAGAAGGATTTGTGGTGTGATTCAAAGTCATTATAAGACATCACCTTTCACTTATTCATTACATGGTTGTCCCAGTTTTGCATCACAAAAACAGCTTTGAGAAAGCAGGTGGCTCCAGAATCTTTCCTGTTCTCTGTAAGGACTCTGCTGTGTTAACTCTGCTGTTTAATTGTAAACTAAAATAAAATATTTCACTGATGTAAAACAAACACTAGGATGACCTCTGCCCTTTGCTGATGTATCTGCCTGACTTTACAAATTATTTTATGTGCAAGGGTTTGTGTCTTAGAGTCTAAAAGAAAGAAGTTATATTTACGAGAAGGCTGATGCCAGAAGTCACCAAGATCTTTGTTAACTTTCCCTTAGCCCTGACTGTTGTGCTGCTGGAGCTGTCCTGTCATGGGACCCAGGCTGGTGTCTCTCCACAGCCCTGTGCAGTGCCAGACAGACATGTCAGACTGCGCTGTGCTACCTCAGAAATCTGTAACACAGCTCTGCACTGTACCCTGTAGATATACCCAAGGAAGACTGAAGAATTTAAACACTTTTATACTTCCCTCAAGAGACATAAAATGTACAGATACATTGTTTTTTCATTCCTCTCCCTGTTTTGCTCTGTTCAATATCATATCATATGCAATTTGATGAAATTTAACAGATCTGCTGGGAAGCTGAGGCCTAACTGGTTGATTACAGTTTAGTTTGTCATTAACTCATGTTCACCTGGTAAGTAGTGATTATGTCATCAGAGAAGGGGAATCATATTTAGGCAACTTGACCAATGAAGCCAAGTAGTAAATACACTCATAAGACTGAATTTTACTTTCAGTGTTGCAGGTGAAATTGTTTTATCATTGTCAGTGGTCTCTTTTCTGCATCTGAATCTGAAAAGCATTCACAGTTTTGCTTTCCTTGGAAGTCTGGCCCACAAAAAAAAACCAAAAAAAAAACCAAAAAAAACCACAGTAGTGACAGGGGTAGAAGAAAGGGACAGTGGTACTATCAGGTACTATCACAACCTGAGGCTCAGGGTGTCAGCTAGAGTGGAGTGTCTGTGGGCCAGCATGGACAAATCAATTCAAAATTAAGAGAATTCATTCTTTATTGTTGACTTAATGTTTGCATTTAAGAATAAAGGCTTTTAGGCCTGAATGCAATCTCCTTTCCCTAATTTAACAGAAAGACTGAAGTGGGTATATAGTTTAAGATAAAGATAGTGTAGATTCCCACTAGTTAATAGAGACAAATAGATACATCCCTATCTCTGCTGACTGGGGAGAGAATGTGGCCTCTCAACTTAGTCACTGCTGTTTGTTTTGCCAGCACAAGGGGTTTTTTTGATCAATACAAAGCAAAGCAGAATTTTTGGATCTTCAGTCCTGTCCTTCAAGGTGTTCCCCTTACATATTAGATACTGTTATGTGTTTCATTCAGCTCCATGATCTGCAGGTCACAATGTCCAGCAAGACAGCCTTCCTATTCCTTTCTCATTTGTCATTCCCTTGTAAGAAGTAAAAGGTGTAACGGCAGATAGCTAAAACATTTTGGAAAGTAGCAAGTTTGCTGTCAGTTGGAAGGATGATAATTTTTGTACTAAATGTATTTAATGTTTATTTTACATTCTCATGGCAACCTAATCTTCTAGTTTCAGCTGGAAAAGGTTCCTTGTGAGTAAGTCTCTGGTGTCCCCATTTAAACCAAAGTGTCATCATAAAATGTTCTTGGTAAAATGGCATTACTTTATTAAACATGAAGACCATTTCCTAATGCATTTTGTAATTCTTTATTACCATTGAAACCAGGCGGTACAAGCTAATGCTACATAGGTTTGATCATAGGAAAGATACTAAGTAATACTCAGATGAGATGGGAGCCCAATTAATAGTGTAATTTAATTATTTCTTTTGACATCCCATCCACAGGAATACTTTCTAATAGATTATGCTTTAGAATTTCAAGAAGTAGCTATTTTGTGGAGCTTTCTTGTCACAAAACATCACAGGGGATTACAAAATCCTGTAGCTGATTCATCTTATTAATTCAAATAAGACCTGTTTCATTACAGTTTTATGATGTCCATCATTAATGCTTTTATACTTGCTGCTTGTATCCTAATGATGTGGTTGAAACAGCACTGCATCAGAAAATGTAGTACAGTATCATTTCTGAGTCATCTGTCACACTGGTGCCTGGCTTGGTCATCAGCTGTCCTTCAGGAGCCTGTGGGAAGTGATGGAGGGAACTCCTTCATGTCCTGCTGGGGAGATGGCAGCATCACCAAAGCTGTCAGGGCTGACACTTGTCCAGTTGTGAGACACAAAGGACACAAACTCAGTGGTCACACACACTGCAGGCTTGGGGGTCAGGCCCTGTGTGCTGCCTGGGCAGGGAGGGGAGCAGGTGTTGCTGTTATAGCATGGTAGTACAGCTTCTAAGAGTTCCTTTCTTTTTGAAGGAGAACAATTTTATCAGCTCTCTAAACCAACCTCTCTCACAAGTATTTGAAGTTGGAAACAGTTTATGACTAGAAAACAAAAGTTTATGGTTGAGGATGTCCGAGTGTCACAGAAACGCTCTCCTCTGACAGACCATCCTGAGCAATCTCTTCCCCTTGCCCCCTTGATAAGGGCACTCCAGATAATATACTGCACATCCTGAGCAGTAACATCTGGTTCCATGAACATCTGTGTGTCAGTGTAGCTGTAGCCCTCAGTTAAACTGCCCTTACTCCCATGTTATCTCTGGGAGATAACACAGACTCATTCCCTTTCTGCCACCAGCTCCTACAGGTATATAATTAACTTCTCACCTATATCTGTGATGCATTTATTACTCCCCTGTCTTGTCCTGCTACTCAGGTCATTGATTACATTAAAAAGCAAAACTCCACCTGTCCACTGCTTCAGGGGAGACACGAATGAGGTTAATCTTATTTGTCTCAAATGAGGAGTCCTCAGGGGGCTGTAGGTAAGATTCTTACTGATTACACCGTTGTGTGGCATAGAAACTGAATTTTAACCTTTCCTTAGAGTGAAGTGTCCTGGGAAATTACATCAATCTGGATACTGGAAGGGTTTAGATATATAGTTCATGTCCTCTTTCAAATGGATCAGCAGATTTTTATTTGTGTTTGTATTTTTAGAGCAGTCTTATTGATTTTATGCCTTTGTTGTTTCTCTGAGATTAAGAGGTATGAAACAGATGCTTTTCTGTTGTATATGAAAGTGAACTTCTTTTTTAAATGCTCAATGTGTTGCCTTCTTCACTCATTCAGACTCAAGTGAATGACACATAAGGAGAGGTCTTCCAAGGTTAGAGGTCTTTGAACTCATTAATATTAGCCATCATTCATTTTTGTGACATTCTTCTCACAATGTGTTCAGGATGGCAAAACTGTGATGTTAACACCATACATGAATACAACACTTATAAAGTCTATCCTTTGGCAGAGGGATGATTTTAAAGTTGATCAAAAGCTCTGTGTTTCACAGTACAGCCTGCACAGGACTGAAGGCATCCCTGGCACAAACAGCAGAATTGTGTGGTAGAAAACTGCTACTGGTTTACCTAATTCCAACAAAAATAATGGGGGGTGGTAGTCCCTAGAGCAACTTTCTCTTGGTAAATCTGCAACTGTCCTCTGCCTTCTAAAGGATTAAGGAAGGTCATTCTTGTATTCTCCAGCTATAATCTAAATTATAGTAAAGATAAAACCATTGCAACATGCTGTGGACGCTTTTGGGTTTTGGTTTTTTTCTTAGTCTGGGAGGAATCCAGATATTTGCAGTCTTCAGGAAAAAAACAGCCAGACCAAACCAAATAAAAAAAGCAAACAAAGTCCACCCCACTAGCTTTTCTGCTGTTTTTAAATCTTGCTGAATACTTTTCCCTAGTTTCTTAAAATGAATGAGAACGTGTTAGAAGCAAATCTGAGGCAATTTATTCAATTCTGAGGAAGTATGTACCCAATTCTTTAATTTTTAGAAAGTATGTGCACCTTTCTTCTCCACTTAAGAATTTTTCCAGGTGTTTGAGGAGGGTGATCAAACAAGTAAAGCCACTGGAACCTGTAGTCACTTCTGTAAATCTTAGCCATCACTTGGATCTGAGCAATGAGTAGCAATGAGTTGGGAATGTAAATATAGCTCTAAATGGTTAAGAAATTTTCTACATTTCAGACCAGGGAAATAAATAGACCCTGAGGTCTCTATTTGCAAACAATATACTTTATCTTCTTCAACTGTCTTTAATTCTTGCTATTCCTCTAAAGTACCAAATATGCCATAGGAGTACTGAATTTACGTATTCAAAACCAAAATCCCAGCTGACATTTATTTCTGCAAAACCTTGATGGCTTTAGCCCTGAGGCACACTCTCTCAATGCAGTTTTAATTTGCTACAATTGACAGTTTGTGAATTATTTTCTGAAGGGGTTCTGTGTACCCAGACAAAGCGTGCCTTCTGTTTCTTGCTGCAGAATGAATACCTTTATGAAGGTGTTGATGCAAGAGTTATAGAATATGAGGACAACAGGCCCCTCCTAGACATGTTCCTGCAGAAACCAATGGGTTTATTGTCTCTGCTGGATGAGGAAAGTCGATTCCCACAAGCAACAGATCAGACACTTGTAGGTAAGTATGTGGTTCATTTCACAGTTTTGCAGCTTGTTTTCTGTTCAGTTTCTGTTTGGCATGTACAGTTCAGACTACATGCTAGTTATGCTTTTAGTGAGCCCCCATTTCAGTGTCACAGGGTGTTTGAGGGAGGCATACATGCTGGGATGGTTGTGTCCTTGAAGTTCATAGGAAAACATCAAGAGTAAAATAAACTTAAGCTGCTGATCCAGGTTTAAAGTTCTCCCACCTTCAGGAATTTTTTGGTGCAGAGCTTGAAGAGTAAAGATCAAACTGAGTTAAAACTCTAGGTTCATAGACCAAGAGTTTGCAAAGTTCAGTCATGCTCAGCTCTGAGTTTTTGATGAGCAATATTTGAGCAAGAAGTTTAATACTTTTGAAGAGTAATGACTGCAACGATGCTTCAGTGACTTCTAGCAAATTATGCTTTCTGAGTGTTTTCTATTCACAAATTAAAATTAAAACACCTAAAGTCATTGTAATTCAGATCTTGAATATTTCAGTGCTGTTGAGTAACTGCAATTACCATTGACTTCATTATTTCAGTGGTATTTCTGTGCAGATAAATCCTGGTTTTACTCATTTTTGAATGTACAAAGTGTCAAATGCGAATTTTAGCCAACACCCAATCCGAAAACCTAATAACATCCAGTAACAATGCCCATGTTAAAGCAATTATATGAGCTTGCTGTACTTTTATCCTCATGCTTTTTAGTCTACAACACAGAAGCATTTAATCAGTGAATGTTTCTTCACAACTCCTCAAGGAATCTGTAGGAAAGATTTCTGCATTGTTTCATATATGTAGATAAAAATCTTGGAAAGGAAAGGCCTGGAAGTGTTCAAAACATGTGAATGTGGCACCTGGGGACATGGCTTAGTAATGAACAGAGTGGTGATGGATTAAGGGTTGGACTCAATGATCTTAGACATCTTTTCCTACCTTAATGATTCTGTGATTCCATGATTTTCTGAGGTCACACATTAAAAAATTGGAACAAAGCAAGTAACTTGTCCAAGAGTTCCCATATTCTCTATCCAGTGTCTTTTGTTACAAGACCATTATGATATCTCTGTCCTTGAAAACATCACAAAACATCTGTTTTGTGCCTCTATGTTAGCTGAGAAGTCTCCTTAGAGGGAAACAGCTTCAGAAGAGAATGATTGTACAGCAACTCCAGTAAGATAAGCTATGTGTTTCCTTTCAGAAAAATTTGAAGATAACTTGAAATCAAAGTATTTTTGGAGACCCAAAAGAGTAGATCTAACCTTTGGAATTTATCATTACGCAGGAAAGGTAAGACACCTGATGATGTTAGTTGGGGATTGTGGAATGGTAGGACTGGAAGGAAGTAGAAGAGATCATCTGGGTTGATTGTCAACTGCTGTCTCTTCAGTCCAGACATGGGAATGTTGGCAGTGCCTTACATATCAAAAGTAAATTGAAAAGTTATTATCCCTCATTTGAAAAAAAAAAAGCAGTAGCAGGAGTGTATTTTTCTTAAATGTCACCAGGTAAATGAACTGACTGTATTACAGAAGACCCAAAACATAACTGGTATGTAATGCTACTCAGTGCTCTTCCTCTTAGCTCCTCAAAGTCCTGCACCATGCTTGTTCCCACTGTTTCTAACCAGGACCCAACTCCATTCTTTCTATTGCCTCCTATATGCCATCAACCTTTCTTAGTTCTGTTCTTTGTCATCAGCCAGACAGAGAGTGCCTGCCTGCCTTCCTTCCTTCCTTCCTTCCTTCCTTCCGCCACTTCCACCACTTCCACCACTTCCGCCACTTCCTTCCTTCTTCCCTCCCTCCCTCCCTCCCTCCCTCTTCTAAAGGGTACAGAGTGAGCACTGATGTCTCTCATGGGAAACCATGTTGGGTCTGTGCAGTGCTGGACCAGCGGGCCTGGGAGGAGACAAATACTGCCCATCAGCAGTATTCCATGATGGAAAATACCTTACCCCTACAAGAGCTACAAAGAGCCTCTTGTAACTCCTCTGGACCTCATCTCCAGCTGAGTTGCATTTCACCAGCACAGCATAACTCACTGCAAGGAGTGGAAAGCCAGGTCTCCCTCTACCATTCCTGTTACCAGCCACTGAATATGGGGAATTACACCAGTGCCCCATCAATGTTCAAAAACTCCTTCATTAGGAAGTTTCTTCTGCTGTCTATCTTATGTCTTCATTGCTGCCATGTAAATTCATTACCCCTAGTCCAGCTTTCTATGGAATTGGAGAACAATTTATTTCCTCTTCCTTTACAAAGCTTTTTCATAATTTAAGAGTGTTGCTGGGTTGTTCTGTGATGGGTTTTTCTAAATATTATGTCCCAGTACCTTCTTGACAGGTCAGGTTTTCTTGTGAGTCTCTTAGACCATCAAGATACAACCCTGAAGCTACATTTAGAATTAGGCAGACCATTCTTGGAATTTTTAGAGAGATTTCAGTTGCCAAAATGCAGTTTGTGATTCTGCAAACTTCCTCTACAATTAATACAGAAATCCCTGGAAGGAGTGTTAAGTCGTGGGTCCAGTACAGCATAATATGAACAGCACAGAGAGATTGTACAGTCATATGGGTAATGCTGTGTGATGTGGTTGAAATCAAGTGCATTGTTAATTGTGCATTAGCACATGCACATGTGTGAAGGAGGACTGCAATACACTTGTCCTGGTGATAAATCCACACAGGTTAAAACTACTGCCTGCATTAGGAAAAATAAATGTCTCAAGCTACTTTGGAATTACAGATTTGCTTTTAGTGATTTGCATCCTATCTCAGTATTGAAAAGGTAGAACTTTCAGTGATCAAAAAAGAAGACTAGAAGTGAGAGTGAGCCTGATGGCTGAAAAACTATTTGTATATCTTGTTAAAGTAAAAGCCCTATTCCAGAAAGCTTAAATTTACAATTACTTTTCAAAATCCAAGAAGATGTATAAATGTACTTTTTAAACAGGTTTTATATAATGCAAGTGGATTCCTAGCCAAAAACAGAGATACTCTCCCAGCTGATATTGTGCTGCTACTGCGATCATCTGAAAACAACCTGACACGACAGCTGGTAACTCACCCTCTCACAAAAACAGGTATTGCTGTGTGCTGATCTTCTTAGCTTTCTCCAGCCTTCATGATGACCACTGCTAGGTTTCATATGAACACTCATTGATGACATTATCCACTTTGTGGCTTCACTTTCCAACCATGGAATCTATACTGAATGGAGCTGCAGCCATCTCAAGCTGCAGGTGAGATATTGGTCTGGTCAAGTGCCAAGGAAGTGGTAGAGACTTCTTTCAGGGTCCTGTCTTCAGGGTGGGGGATCAAGACAGGGAGCTGAGGACTGAACAGAAAGGATCGGGTAAGTCACTGGCCTGTTTTAGACAGGGCATATATAAATTGCCTCAGTGCAATTTATCCCCAAGTGGTAGAGAACAAAGGTTGGGGGTCCTAACACCTGTTGCAAAGACTGAGTCCTAGAGTTCTTTACAATAGGTAACCGATGTTGTAGTAAGCCCTTCCTGAAGAAATTTGTAAGTAGAGGTGGAGGAATAAAATTGGCTCTACAGAAATTACTCCTAAATTGCACCTTGTTTGAACTATGTTCTTGCAAAGTGTCCTGCCTTCCACTGCAGGATGATGGGTAAGTCTTCTTCCAACCAGCTTGTTATTGTGTTGTAGTACTCCCTGTGTGATGGCATTGATGCCATACAGTAAGTACTTTACAACATTACTTTCTTGTACAATTACATGGGAGACATATTTCTAGCAGAACAGAAAATCTAAATTGGAAGAGCCTAATGGAAATGAAAATGTTATCATAACTTGCAGAAGCTGAGGTTTTGGCAAGGCTTCTGTTCTTTACAAAGGGACATTTGCTATTAGAATGCAAAATTTGGTCTTGGAATTTTATTTTAAGTGAGTGTTCCTGGAAAAGCACAGAGTTCAATGCCCTTGCCTGAACTTTTTGACTTTTTGATATTTGCTATTATACTAAACTATAATTTCCATAGATTCCAAGTAAGCATCCAAATAGTTCCAAGAACTGATCTAAGTCTTCATGTTTTGCAAGATAACTCTGAAGGCTGTTTTGGTCTTCTTGTTAAATATTGTGAAGCACTGCATGTAGCATTTCAAAATTGACTCAAACCTTCCAGCTACAGCCAACTTAAAGTTAGGTTTCTGATCTGTGTTATTTATCTAGAATCAGAGTAATTGCAGAGAATTACCCAAAGTCCCACCCATCTTGACTATCTCAGGGATGGGAAAAATCTCCTCTGAAGGTGTCTCTCTCCACGGAATACCGCAGGGATCCTGTAGACACCTCACTTTCAGATAGCCAAAGTTAGCTGTCAGTAATCCTCTCTTTTTCCTTCCCACCCTGTGATATTCAGCTGAACCCCATGGAAGTTTAGGCCTTGGTATCATCACATAATACCAGGTGCATTACCATGACACATATTGCAGCTCTTATCCACCTCTTCCTGATAGTAGTTGAGCACAGGGAGATACAGGCTCTCCCAGGGGAGAGGGAGATCCCAGAGGTGTTATGTTATTAGCAGAAGCAGTGGCAGCATGCAGCAATGTTTAGAGTTTATCAATACAGAGAGGCATGATGGAAAGCTCAGCAGAATTTTCATTATTCCTTGAAAAAACCAGTATCTGTGCAAAGCATGCCAATGCACCTAGTCCTTCAAGGTCATCATAATGAAGGTATTGCTTGGCTTAGAGTTCCAGAGTTAGAGCTTTAAGACTTTGCCTGTGCTAATAAACCAAACAGAGCCAGTGAATAGTAGATGAAACATTCCCACAGGGCTGCTTACTCTGATTAATGGTTAGAATGCCTCCCTGGGACGGTTTTAGTCCATGTGAGCTATGAGCCTTCCAGGAATGCTGAGCCACACTTCAGAGAAAGGACTGGACAGTGATGGTTTCCAGCAAGTTCTGTGATACAATCTTATTTTTACCAGGGGTTGAAAGCAAAGTAAAGAGTAGAGTTTAGGTGCATAAACCTGAGTCATGCCATGTCACTTTTCCTCAGGGCCAGAGAAGGGTATTAACACATTTTTCTTTAACTTATACGTAGCATTAGAACTAGAATAGTACAGTAACATTCTTAGGGTAAAACCACAAGGATGCTCTAAGATGTATCTATCTTACCTTCTACAGTAGTCTGTTTATTTTTTTTAATCTAGTAGATGACATATGAGCTGAAGGAGAATAAAACATCATGTTCTGTGTTCATGCAACTTCTTCAGAGCTCATTCCATCCCAAGGGTTAAAGGGGAAATGAGGACACACTCTAAAAAAGCCAATGACCTTCGTAATCATATGGTTGCACTGGGGGCATGAATAAGGTGGTTCAGGGTCATTCTTAGTTTAGATGAGATGTAAGCATGTTGGTAGGTTACTTTCTTTCATCTTCCCATAGGTAACCTGGCACACACCAAAAGCAAAACTACAATCAGTTATCAAATGTGGACCTCCCAAAAATCAATCAGTCATACAAAGGTAAGAAAACTGATTTTGTGATTCTGCATTGAAGCCTAATTTAAACTAGAAAGGCAGTAGCTGTTATGGTATTGAAAGTAAGTGAGTAACCCCTTCCTTGGTTTTTCTCCCTCTTCTATTTTCTTTTCTGTTTAGCTGGATATCTTTGTGTTGTGCAATTCATATTCCTTCCGTGAGGTAAAAACCTAACATTTCCCTTCTTTCTGGCTATAGTTTTATAACAACTTCAGGGGGAAAAAAATTATTATTTCCCAGCTGTATTGTAGCAAAAAGAGAAAATATTGGTGTGGAATATAGCCACATTTCTTAGAAAACTATCAAATTAACAGTGATGATGAAATAACAGACAGGACCTCAGACATTGTCCAGTTATTTGTGGCAGTTATTAGATGCTCTGTTACCAACTTGTGCCCTTTGTGTGTGTGAATATTTGTGTATTGTGTAGCAAAGTGTTGGTGTAATTGATTTGTGCTAGTGATCATGCTGTAACTTTTGCTGTTTAGAATATTTTTAAATTATTTGTGTTCTCTGAGGGATGCTTTCTTGTGGCATTGGAAAGGGCACTGCAAGCTAACTAGAGATAAAAAGTGTAATTTTTTCTTCATCTTTATAGAATGAAGCAGGAGATACTGGACATCATCCAAGAGAAACAACCAGCATGAAAACACAGACAGTTGCTTCTTATTTTAGAGTAAGATATCAGATCTTTTAATACGTACTTCTGGAGTACAAAAAAATGTTTATTCTTTTACTTTTTGAAATGCACCTGTTGAGTTAGACTCAGTAGTGATCCATTTTAGAGTTTGTGAACTGCATATATGATGCAGCAGTCTGTGCAGTACAAATACCTCGAGAAGATTGTGATGTTTCATCTTTAACTGTAGTTGATTACACAGCCACATTGCTGTCATGATGATGTATGATGATCAATATTAATCTTTCACTTGCTTGTTTTTCCACCAAAGAAGATAAAGGGAGAGCGGACATTAGTGGTATAGCATTTCCTTAAGAGTTTAAGAAAGAGGGCAAAGCAGGAGCTCCAGAGAAAGTTCTCGATGGTCACTGCACAGAGGCTGCCCAGAGTTCATCCTTGTGGCTCCTTCAGCAGTGCTCTGGATCTTCCCAAGCACTGGCTCTGCTGCTGGTCCTAAAACAGCAAATAGCAGTGAAGAGCATCTGAAGTGGCACACAGAGCTGGTTCTGCTCTGAATTTCCAGCTCTTGTTTAGTCATCTCTCCCAGCAAACCATAAAGTGGCTGAGGGAGTGTTCATGGTGAATTTAGTGCACAGCTCAAAGGAATGCCAAGTTTGCTGATGACACTAAATTGAGAGGAGCTGTCAACTTCTTGAGAGCAGAGAGGCCCTGCAGAGAGACCTCAACAAATCATATGACAATTCAGAAAGACAGTGGCCAAATTCTGCACCTGGGATGAGGCAGCCCTGATTGTGTGTAGAGACTGGGGAATGAGAGGCTGGTGAGCAGTCCCTCAGAAAGGGATCTGGGGGTCCTGGTCCATGGCAAGCAGGAACCTGAACCAGCAATGCCCTGGCAGCCGGGAGGGCCAACCCTGTCCTGGGGGTATCAGGCACAGCATGGCCAGCAGGGCAAGGGAAGGGATTGTCCTGCTCTGTCTGCACTGGGGTAGCCTCACCTCAAGTGCTGGGGGCAGTTCTGGGTGCCACAATGTAAGAAAGAGATTAAACTGTTAGAGTCCACAGGAGGGCCATGAGGATGGTGAAGGTCTGGAGGGGAGCCCTATGAGAAGCAGCTGAAGTCACTTGGTCTGTCCAGCCTGGAGAATGGGAGGCTGAGGGGAGACCTCACCGTGACCTTCAACATCCTCACGAGGGGAAGAGGAAGGGCAGACACTGATCTCTTCACTCTCGTGACCAGTGACCGCACATAAGGGAAGGGCACCAAGCTGAATCAGGGGAGGTTTATGTTGGATATTAGGAAAAGGCTCCTCACCCAGAAGGTGGCTGGGCCCTGGAACCAGCTCTCCAAGGAAACGGTCACAGCACCAGCCTGGCAGAGTTCCAGGAGTGTTTGGACAATACTCTCAGGCACATGGTGTGATTCTTGGGGTGTCCTGCACAGGGCCCAGAGTTCAACTTGATGATCCTGATGAGTTCCTTCCAAGTCAATATATTCTATGATTTTATGGCCTGTAGGAGTTCACTTACATCTATGTCAGAACAATGAGGAGCCAGATCTCTCTTTTTTAGATACAGTTGCACAGCTTTGTGGACTGTGAAGGATAATTTCAGTTTAGGTACCACAGTGGTCGAAAGCTATATACTGTTTGAATATTCTAGATGGAAAAAAAATATTGAATCTCATTCAAATTAATGTCTATGATTCAGTGCATTATCAGCACTTCTAGCATCAGAGGCTGCAAATGAGTTAATTATGTTTACACTTTTCTGATACTATTTTCTGCCATGGACATCCTTGCTTAGATCATGATAGCTAATGCTCTTAAATGAAAATCCACCTTCAGCCCCACTGGTTTACTCATACACAGATATCTATGGGTGACTGAGAAAAACATATGCCACCTCAGACTGCATGGAAAAAAAGATATCCATTAGCGTGTCCTACTTGTTTGTGTTCATTTGGCACACTGGTGATGGAGCTAATTAAGCACTTTGCTGTATGGTGCAGCTTCTGTCCAGAACGGAATTGCACATTTTAATAGGAAACATATGGCTCTTGACGTCCTACACTGGTTTCATGTAACCAACCTACTGCTGAGCTGCATTACCTCCTGGCTGCCTCTTTCTGTTGAGTCAGGTTGAATCTTGAGGAATGAGCCTCTTCATTTGTGTTTTAATTTGATCCTCCCATGAAGCAATTTTTCAAAACACCAGTCAAGGTTGTTTACAGTCAGCTTCCCCTCAGCTGGCATGGAGAGGCTGCATCTTCTCTTCTAGGCTGGTACTCTGGGGAGGTGGGAGAATTGCAGCTTTGGAATTGTGATCTAGCTTTGCCGTCCTTGGAAGTTTCCTCTTGGCAGGGCAGTTACTGTATCACCATCAGTCTGTGCAATGAACAGGACACACCAAGATCAGAGCAGTTCAACCAGCCCTTCTTCTGGGGTAGCCTTGGTTTCCTCCAGTCTAGTGAAGGAATTGAAATATTTACTGGCTTGCTGCTGTTCCACTTCCCATCCATAGAGGGATGATTTACTCTCTGGTGAACACGGGTCTTCAAATAGGTGACAACAATAAAAAGAAAAATGGCTGTAATTACTTAGCAAAGCTGCAAGATAAGCAAGTAAATGTGAGTGTAAGTATTCTGTCATATGTTGGACATCATGGAAATCTGTGAGAATGTCCTGGATGAAATTTGGCACATTTATTTGGAATCAGTGTTTTTTGCAAGTAGTATAAACTAGTAGAAGCTTTTCTAGCTTAGAAAAGGTAGAATTTTTTGGGGGTCATTTACTTCATCCACTCTTAAACTATCAGCCTAATGACATGTATATGGTTTTGGACATGATTCTGATCATATGAAATAAAATTTCAACTACCAGTTTCATAAGTATCCTGGTGACAGATCTCTTGTTACTTTTTTGCAGTATTCTCTGATGGATTTGCTATCCAAAATGGTCGTTGGCCAGCCCCATTTTGTCAGGTGCATCAAGCCCAACAACGACCGGCAGGCAAACAAGTTTGACAAAGAGAAAGTGTTGGTTCAGCTGCGTTACACGGGAATCCTGGAGACAGCACGGATCCGCAGGCAGGGATACTCACACCGTATACTCTTCGCTAACTTCATAAAACGGTAACATCAATGTGAAGAAGCTCTTTTCTCTCCTACTGCTGCCAGCCAGTTCTTGCTGAGCACCAGCATTGTTTTTGGCATGGTCTTTGAAAATAAATACAAAGACATTTCCTGTGACAAAGAAGGTTATATACAGAATGACCAAGAGTAGTTCAGGCACAAGATTAGTAACCTATTTTTGATGGGTAGGGAAAGATGATGAATCACAGAATGATTTCTGTGATTCAGGCTCTCTGAGCATTTGGGTAGAAATTTACTTGCTTATACTCTGCAAGTTTCTTCAAGGACTTGAGTATTAGAAATGCATTACTTCAAAACAAAGCCAAGAATTTCCAGCCACAGCATCCAAGGAACACCACAGTTTCTCTAGCTCCCAAGTTTTAGCACTGTGCAACATCTGCTTGTGCAACGGTAGATGATGATTTGGGATTCCTAGTCTAGGGCTGAAAAGTTTATTGAGTGCAATAAACTGCATAGTGTTGTTTAAAGTATAATTCATAATATTAGTCACTTCTGTTAAGAAGCAGAGTAATGAACTCAGTGTGGTTGTATTATTCCTTTAGCTACCTTCTTCCTCCACCCCAAAAATCTGTACTTCTGTCTTACAAATAAAGACCCTGAGTATTTGACTCAGTCAGAACACAGTTGTATGGAATAGAGGTCAAAACTAGGAAGAAGTAAGCATCACCTATTTGGACAGAAGCACTTAAAAGAAATAGTGCACTAGAAAGAGAGAGCTAGTAGCAGAGTGCTGCAGGTGCATGAGATGAGAGGGGAACAGCAAAGTGATGTTTTTAAAGCCCTGTTTCTGGAAAAAATAATCCTGGAACTGTTGCTGTTTTGGAAGAATGCAGCTTTTAGAAGAGTGCAGCATGGAAAGAGATAGTTATCACTACATGATGTGCGGTAGCTTTTGGTAACAGATTTTTATTTAAAAAAATCCAAAACTTAACTGTTCAAGTAACATTGATAAAAGCAGTAAACATAACGGGGTAGGTCTCTAGAGACTGTGCCCCTGATTACAGTGAGATTGTGCAGATCACTCCCACTGAGGACATGGCCCTCTAAGGAAAAAGAATTTTTATTAAATCTATGTCTTATTTTGGGTTTGGGGGTTTTTTTTAGCAGTTGAGAGTTACAGGTAGACCTGAGATAATGGCATCATTATTTGGTTGTAATAAAAATAAGCCAATTCATTGTGTTTTACAAAAAGAAAAAAAAGGGAACTGTAGGTGGTAATGAAGAAATTGACATTGTCTCTTTTATTATTCCATGAGCAAACTGTTACCATCATTTAAAGCTGGTAAACCCAGGCTTTGTGTTTAAAGGCTGAATAACAAGAAAACCAGAATGTACTGTCAGGAAGCACACATAATTAATGTAATTTTCTTAAATTAAAAAGCCAAGATGGATATGGTTCATTTTGTTATAGAGCATTTTGGAAAGTCCTGGAACAAACAAGTATTTTCTATCCAACAGCTGAGCTGGCGTATCACAGGTAATTTTTATGAGTGAGCATCGTGACCTCTTTTCCTAGTCAGAATTAATTCTGAGTAATGAGTTTGCCAGACTAAGTGCTTACAGATGATGTGTCACAATGGCACTTACATGTTCCAAAAGGATCTGCAAAACTGATTCCAAGGAGCTAACAAGAGCTGGGATGCATCTCAGCATCTATTCAGATATTAAGTATCTCAAAGGGAGATGGTCTAGCACATGAGACAAGATAGGAAATTTTTGTGACATTTCTAAATATAAAATAATGTAATTTAGACCGAAAAGCTCTTAAAATATTTTTATTTTATTTTTATATTGTCACTGAAATCAGTTTCACAATATGTAGTGAGCAGGAAAGAAATGTTGTGCTGTTCTACTTGGGTTGAATTCTTTTTAAAAAGCTTCCGGTGTTGGTATAGAATTAAAAAGCCCTCCAGGGTGTGTAATATCTCACTCATCCACTTTTGATTGAATTTCTTCATACTGTGTATAAATAACTGCACTTTCATATGCTGTTTTGTTTTTTTCAGTGCTATGTTTTCTTTCATGCAATTGTTTTTATTACTTAAAAGAATGTTTTAAATGTATTTGCATGTATTATCCTCCATTAATCAAACAAAGAATCATGCATTTGTCTTTAGGTATTATCTCATCTGTTACAAAACAAATGATGATCCTCCAGTCAGCCCGGAGACCTGTGCTGCCATCTTGGAAAAAGCCCACCTTGACAACTGGGTTCTTGGAAAAACTAAAGTAATTTTCTAATATACTGTATCTTCTTCATTCTAGTATGCCATTGTTAACATATTAAACAATTTGTTTTCTCACTCATTTGGTTGGAGTAGCTGTTGGTCTCTACTCTTTTTAAAAAGCAAAGTCCTTAATACACACCAGGAATGTGTTGGCAACCCTTGTTCTGGATCCATTTTTCAGGACTTATGCGAGTTTCATGCTTGATAAAAACAATTTAGTAAATAAACTATGCTTTATGTTTAAAATTGGGAAACTGAGAAATTGAAGTTCCAGATTCCAGATTTGGATCATGTATATATAACATACATTAGATTTGTGAGGTTAACAAAACTGTCAGCCTTGTAGTTTTGAAAATAGATTTATAGTTACAGACTGAAGGTTTGCACTGGAACTTTAAAAAATCCTGCAATAAAAAAATGAATAAGCAGAGACTGATGAAAGATGCTGAAGAGAAGAGTAAGGTAAATTAATATCCCAAACAATGAAAATGTTATCTCTAAGAATTATCCTTTAGGTACTACAACTGAAGGGTCTGTTCATCATTTGAAACCAACTTGTAACTCTTGCTGATGTTAAATGGATCGAGTGAATAATGGGCAGGGAAGGTAACTAAAACTTTTGTTTGTTTCTCTTTTTAAGGTATTCCTCAAATACTATCATGTGGAGCAGCTAAATTTAATGCGGAAGGAGACAGTTGACATGATTATTTTGATTCAAGCTTATGTCAGAGGGTGGCTGGGTTCCAGGAGATACAAAAAGATAAAGGAACAAAGGGAACAAAGTGCTATTAAAATACAGTCAGGTAATAGCTTTAAAACATTTAACATTTTGCTTAAAGCTAGTGCATGTGTACAGTTGATTGATGAATGTGCATGCTGGATGTGGATTTTACTCTTTTCCTGATGTTACATTTGACAAAATTTCTTATACTTGGTTATATCTGTTCTTATGAAAAAAATTTCTTTTAACCAGTTTATGACAATCTCTTTACTGAAATTACATTTATCAGTGTTATATTTAAAAGGCAATTTTAGGAATGGAAGGATGTGATTGCACAGATGATACTCTTATTAATAATATTCTGGCATGCACTGACAAGGTTGTATAATGTAATAATGAAAATAAAATATATTAACTGTCCTAGATAATAAGGCCAATTACCCTGCTGATGGAGGCATCAACTGATTTTTTTAATACTTTCAAACATAATCTTATTTTACATTCTGATTATCTTGTGTTTTATATTCATTTGTTTCATAATAACTTTATTAACCAGAAAATATATTTTTATGTAGATTTAGTATTTGTGCTTGTTTGCCATGTTTTCTGAAACATAAAGCCTGTAAAATATTTATGAATATTTTAATAGAGGTCTGTAATTCCAGAATATTTTTATTCATTTTGTACCTAGTGGATTACCTAGTTTTTAACATTTCTTTTCAGCTTACAGGGGGTTTGTTGCTCGTAAAGAATACAAAAATGCAAAGCATATTAAAAAAGTGGAAGAATATATGGTCAAATTTCAAGCAAGTAAGAATTGTTTGCTTTCTTGGCTTTTAATGTGTTATCCATACGCAGTGTGTTGACCCAGATTCTCACTATACTGATTGACTATGCTCATTTGCATGTTCTGAGGTATAACTTATTATATATCTATATACAATGGCTGAAATGGGTGACTCTATTCTGCTACCTGTGCCTCAGAGTGATTTAGGCATTTTCCACTGCTATGAAGTGGGATGCTCAAATTCCATAGCAAACCTTGTCACTCCTAGTCTGAGTGCTACAGCTGCCCAGCTGTGGGTGTTGTTGAATCCCACACAACACTGTCTGCATATCATGAGTGTATGGGTGCTGCTCAGCTAGGAACTGGGTTTGTTATCTATCAGTAATGGTTATATTTGGGAAGACTGCAAGCTGTAAATTCACTGATGTCTTTCTTGCCATGGCTTTGTTTCTCCTTTGCAGCCATAATGACCCTGGGCCCAGGTGTTGCTATGGGACACCCCTTTTTCCTCCCTGTGCTTTGGTCTCCCCTGTCCCTGCAGAGACATCCCCAAGCTAGACACAGTCTAGGCAGCTCCGAAATCAGGAGCAGTACAGCTGGAGAGACATGGGACTGAAGCCAGGTTGGATGGGGCTCTGAGCAATCCCATCTAGTGGAAGGTGTCCCTGCCCATGGCAGCAGAATTGGAACTAGATGATCTTTAGGATTCCTTCCATCCCAAGCCATTCTATGATTTTATGATTCTATAAAAACAGCTGGCACAAATCTGCACAACATTTTCAGTAATTACAAAGACGGCAACCCAAATATAATCTAGTGTTGCCAGTACCCAGGCTGTATAGTCTTAAACAACCTCAGATATGCCTTCATGAGTATATAACACCACCAGTGTTGGTTTTAGTCATTGTCAGATGCATTCGTTAATGGCACTGGACCAGTGTGTACTAAAGATCCCTTCACTGCAGTTGATAGAACTTCATCAGTGTAGAAAACAATCTAAAACCAGCATAAAATCCAGTAGTGTGCCAAAAATTATTACACATCTGAATGCAGCCAATTATATTAGGATATGTAACAAATGCAAAAGTATAAACTTACCATTTTACTCTGTTAATGTCCCAAATGTTTCTTTTTGCCCACCTTCTTTCATGTCTTGCATTTCAACTTCTTCAGTGCACAAGAAGCCAAAACTGAAATGAAGTTCATTTTTACTTAGCTCTCTCCATTTTTTCCCCCATTTGTTTCTAAAGCAATACAAAACTTCTCTTCCAGTTTGAAAACAAAGCTTAGATAGCAACTATATCATTACAAACTTCTCAGAAAACCTCAAAAGTGAACCAGAATAGTCTAAAAAGACTAGATGCAGCTTATATTGCCATGCTTGATTTTTTCAAAACTACTCCTGTTGAGTTGCTTTTATATGAAAGTGGAAAGATAATTGTCTCAGAAGTCCAGGCAACTCAAGAAGTATTCCAAGTGCTTTACAATTTCAACTTTTCTAAGGCTCTGTCAGACTGCAATATAAGATCCAACTGTGCTACTCCCAATAAGTATTTGTGGGTTTTTGTTATATCCAGTTATATTCAGTTTTTGCTATATCCAGTTACCAAGGTGTAATTTATGCCCATTTTATATGGTCCTTCTTACATTGATTGACTGCACCTACTGGAGCCCAGGCTGGTCTAAGTTATGAGTGGGGAATGCTAGAGCACATAAAACTTAGCACTAAGTTATATGAATGTGTTGGAACAGACTGCTAATGCTCCCTTCTTATTTTCGAGTGAGCTTGACCTTTTCACTGTGATGCAAAACACTCTCAGCAGAGCTGAAGAAAGAGTCCCATATATACCATGTCCACAGGATATTTAAGTCACCTGAATCCACTATCCCCATACTCTTGGTACTGCATTTGGAATTAAACAGAAATATTTTGACAAAACACTATGTTATTTTTATTTTGCCAGGGATTAGCGGATTTGTCCAAATCCCTAATTGCAGATTTGTCCAAATCACAGCACTGTGGAGACTGTGCCAGTTCCCATTAGGAAATTATTTGCAAGTTCAAAAGTTTTTGAAGCAAGATTCTGAATGCAATTCGGTTTCTGATTAGGACACTTCAGTGTAGATGTCTAAATGTGATCTAGATGTCTAAACTGCTGTTACAGTCAGTAGAGCCTAGGGTTTGAATAATTTTATTCAAAATCAGCAAATGCTCAGCTCATTTGCCCTCATACTGGTATCTAGTGTCATTCGAGGTGCCCTGGTTATCTGGTCTGGCCTCCAGCTCTCTTTCACCAGGTATAGCCAACTTTTCCTGTCCAGAAAGTCCCATCTGTCCTGCTCTTTCTGCCAGCTCCATGTGGATGCCTTGCTATCCTGGAGCACTTCAGATGGCACCAGATACCAACGTGCTGGCAACTGCATCCAGGCCCCAGTGACTGTCAGCACCTACGGGGCCCAGGGAAGGCCCATGTTTGAGTCCTCATTTCTGGCTCAAACCAGAAAATTGCCCTTGTGCCTCCCAAAAAGCACTGGTATGGAGTTTCTCTGCCACGGTGCACCTGGTTACTGTGGAGCTTAGCACATCTTTCATGCTGAGCCTTTTCATTTTGAATAATCACTCTTTGCAGGAGGAGCATGAGCTAAGTCTTCTGTAACTGCTGAGCTATAAAATTCTCAGTTTCTCTCTGATCTATTGAATGTTCAGCTAATTCCAAGCCTGTGCCAGTTGACAGCCTGGTAATCTCTATAGGCTGATAATCAGGCATTTCCCATGGAAATGAAAGACAGAGTCAAATCAATTGCCTGAATCAGGCAAAGCAGGTACATTAAGCTCAGAGTACTGTGTTCTAGAGGCCCTCTCTGCTTCTGTTTTATTCTGCATCTCTCTATGTTTTCTTTAATTCAACAAAATTTGAAGAAAGAGTTTGTTTGTATCCTCATGTAGAATGGGTACAGCTTTCTGAAATCTCAAAAAGGTTTTATGGGAATCATTTCAGATGAAACATAATCATAATAGGCACCCTGGTCTGTATTTCCTTATTAGCTTTTGTTTAATGCTGTTAGTATTTGACTGTCTGAAATGTATGTGGCACCCATTGTTTGTTGCCTAAGGTTGTTTTGCATTACAATTTGTATCAGTTGCCAGAGGATACTTACTCAGGAAGAAGAGAAAAGAACTAACTGAAACAAGAAACAAAGCAGCAACAACAATTCAGTCTCACTACAGGGGATATAAGGAGAGGAAGGACTTCCAAAGCAGGAGGTAGCGTTATTTTCAATTATGTCACTCAAACGTGTCCCTTTCCAGTAACTACAGTACTGAATAACAACATTATAAGATAAGAGTGAAGAAAATTAGGATTATTCTAGATATGTATGCAGAAGTAATGTATATTTATGTGAAGGTTTTTAATGGAAGTGGCCAATTTTCTTATCTTTTCAAGCCCAAGGAATAAAGGCACATTTAGGAGAAAGATCAACAATACTGTACCTGCCTGTAATGTTAATGTAACCTATAGATAAGTCTCTTTGGAATTAGCTTATAATAAAAAAATGTTCAGACAAGAATGAGATAGATATCTGCAAGGAACTGTTCTTGTTTTAAGACACTGTTAAAGATAAGCAAAGGTGATGACAGAGGAAACACAGAATACCTTTAGGATTGTGTGTATATATACATTCTTGAAATGCTAAGAGGTTTATGCCTTATGTTTCTGTTAACATTTAAATTAATACTTTACTGTTTTATCTTATTATTTATTAATTCTTTACTGTTTTACACAACCTAGAGTCTCTTCCTGGCAATTTTCCATTAATTTTAACAGGGATGTCCCTTTTTACTTAAGAGATGATTGTGTTGATGATAATATTATCCCTTTTCACTTTAAGAGATACTACTACTACTACAACTACTACAACTACTACTACTACTACTACTAATAACAATAATAGTAATATAACAACAGAAATTGCTATCTTTAATTCCAGCTATATGCACTAAATCTTTCCCATGTTGCAGTGTATCAAATTGCTAGTTTGTACACAAATACCACCAAAGGTAGTTGTAAAGTTGTCTCTATTCTTCATCTCCTTCAGCTGTAATTTTTGCCCAAAACTCTGTTCCATTCAGGAAATCACTTAGAAAGCAAGAAATTGAAAATGCAACCACTAGCACAAAGGAAAATGATGAACAACTTCAAGATCCTGAAGAAAGTCCAACTGAGAGTGCCCTCCCTAGAACAGAAGAAGCAGCTGCCATAGCAGAGGATGAATTATCTGCTGTGGAATTCCTTGAAGCACAACTGCAGCCATCTCAAAATGATACACTGGAAGAAGTAGCAAGTGAGGAGACTCAAGATGAACCTGGTGCTGTCACTGACAGCAAGTGCTGTGGGTACAGTGACACAGGGAATGGAGAGGGGCAACAGCAAACATCTAGTGAAGGAGAGGCAGTTCCTGTGAAGCAGAACCTGGCAGTAGAAGAGGTTAGTGAAGGTGAAGAACAGGACTCTTTGGAAGAGTTACCCAGCAAATCTTCTGTCAAAACCTCAGCTGAACCTAGATTCCAGCAAGAGCAAGATAATCAAGATACACTCAGTGCAGACTGGCAAAATCAAGAATCTGCTGTGGTCCAGCCCAGAACTGACAGGGTTGTGGAAAGAAACTACCCAAAGCGTGAAGCAGTGATGCCTACAGGAGCTAAAGGAATCACAAGAAAAGAGTCACTGAGAAGAGGCTCATGGAAGCAAGCTGAGGCAGAAAAGCAAGATTCAGAAGACAAAGAGAAGGCAGCAGTAGTAATTCAGAGTAATTACCGGGGTTACAGAAGGAGAGGGCAACTCAGAAAAGAAGGGAAACTACCTTGCAAAAGTCAAGAGAAAACAATAAAGGAGCCAACAGAAGAAATACACGTTCAAAATAACAATCCCCAAACAACAAAAGGTAGGGAAAGCACCAGTACAGAGGCTGAAGACTCTAAGACACTGAAGGGAGACTCAGAGAAAGAGGCTTGTGATTTGGCAGCCTTTTCACGACAGGTAAGAAGCTTGTAAGCAATGTAGGTGGAGCATAATACTCTGAGCAGTGACAGAATGGCAAAATTATTTTACTGACTTCTATGGCACTAAGGTTTTGCTCTCTCAACTAAGACAGAGATTTTGTAATGTGTGTTCTATGAAAATGCATATTTTGGTTTGCAAGTGAAAACATTCTTTTCAGGAAGAAGGAAAAGTCAGAGTACTGGCAAAAATAATGTTAATCTGATTTAAGTTAAATGCAGAAGCTTTGCCTTCCAAATGTTTGTTTACCCATCAAGGTCCTACAATTCAGTACACTTGTGAAATGTCCCTGGAAATGAAACTAAACCCACTGTGCCCATGTCAGAGACTTGCACATGTGCAGAGAAGTATGCCTACAGCAGTAGAAGCAATCTTGCATCAGCAAGGCACCATCTGCCCATGTGTGTGAACCAATGAGAAGTAGCTATAGGACTGGACTGCAGTGTTGAGTTTCCTATAGGTCTTCTTTTTTTCCCATCTTAATTTTTTTCAAGAAATGAGGAGGTAAATGTGGTAGGGATGTGCACTGCAGTCAGTGGAGCAATACCTTTTAAATTAATTCACTATTTTACCTTTGATTACCTTGGAACATGTATACTTATTTCTATAATAATGTAAAAATATATTTTTCAGATATCAAAATTATCTGAAGATTACTTAGCATTGCAGCAAAAACTGAATGAAATGATATTGTCCCATCAGCTGAGACCTGTGATGATGTCCAAAGATAAGCAAGCTAATGGCCGGCTTTCTTCTCATGTTTGTCAGTCAGGTAATGTTTAACCTTACTGTTGGCAGAATTTTCATTTGTAGACAGGACTGACAAGAAGCTACTCCTGGTCATGTCAGGGAACAAGCAGATGAGTTAATTCCAGCTTCTCATATTACTCTGGCTGTGTATTTTTGTACTAAGCCCCATATCAGTTTGTGTCTGGAACACAGTTTCCAGATAAATACCCACACCTGGTTGGGATTTATGTATTTACCTTTTTTTTTGTTGTTGTTGTTTTTGTTGGTTTTTTTTTTTTGTTGTTGTTTCAGTGCTGCTTAGGATTGCTGAATGAATCTAGACACACTATCACTAAGAATACTTTTATTTGGTAAAATTCCATATTGGCTCTAGTTAACTCAGTTGTCTTTCAATTGTGTGTGCTATTGTTATGATATGGGACTATGCTTTCAAAACACAACAGTTTTTTAGGTAATATGTCAAACAATTTACTAAAGTTTATGACATATATGCTGAGTGAATTTTTAGCTATCTATAGATACAACTGAGGTTATTCAAAACCTGAAACTCCTCCCCATGTTGGTGGGTATGTTGCATGTATTGCATGTATTGTAATTGCATATAAAGTTTTATTAATATTCAGCATCCCTTTAACTCACACATTTAAGAGGATGTGATCTCTAGAAATATACTTCAGAGTTATTTATATTCTGGTTAACATGGGCAGTGAGTGAAGGTTCCCAAAATGCAAACATGCTTGGAGCAGTTTGGGTGGCAGTGGGGAAGAGTACTGGGAGAATAAAGAGGACATGGGATTCTGAGCATGCAGATCATTGAGACCTGAGCTCCACCAAAAGGACCCCAAAGACCTGACTGAGCTGCTGAGACCTCTTCTGCTGGAATAGATGTAACAGGGAATTTTCTGAGTTCATGTCTTGGGCTGCAGATGTGGAGGATGAGGGCAGATGTGGCAGATAACTGGCTGTGTCTCCATTTGTGTGGCAGGGCTTGTGTGAGCTCACTGCACTGCCTCTGAGGAAGAGCTGGGATAAGATCTAGAACTGTCTCTCACTGCCCAGAGCTAGTTGTGCTATTTTCATTATAACATTGTGGATTCAGTTGTCATGTGTGATGAAACTTCTTTCTGTTCCCATGACTACATTGAAAAGATCTTAAAAGTACTTAAATCCTGCTTTGGAGTCTTCTCAAATGGGCAAGCTGCTAAAATGAGGGTTGGTGTTTACACCTCTTAAGTGCAAACCAGCTGCTGGTAGGTAATCTGTGCAGTTCAGCCTGTTTCCAAGACCAGAGTCTGCAAGAGAAAAGAAATGGGAAATGGAAAACTAAGTACCATGACCTTTCATTAAAGACAGAGCAAGGTTTGTGATTGTCATTAATGGTATTAGATTGAATCCTCTACTAAATACTGCTGATTTTTTGACAAGATAAACCTGAGAAATTAAAAATGTATGCTTAGGAAAATACCTCTTGGTTCTAACGCATTTTCCAACAGAACCTAGAGAAAAGTGGTAGATAGAGGGAAAGGGAATATACAAATCCTTGTTTTATCAGTTAAAAATCTCATCATTGCACAAGTGAACCAGGTGAAAATATACCAGTATGTTCCTGCCATGTGCAAAATGCAGTGAAGTCTACCCTTCACACTGCTATTCATTTAAGCAGCTGTACAGGAGACAAATCTTGCCAGGGTTTGTCACCTGTGCATCCAACCCTGCCTACAGGGGTGACCAGCCAGCCACTTCTCTTCCCTTTATCACTGAAGATGCCACACTGCTGTAAAACCCTGCCATGTCACAGTGCAGAAGCTTTCCAGTGGTAAAGTGTGTTAACCTCTCCACTGAAAAACCTTCCTTGGTGTGGAATGTGAACTTTCCTTTTCCACAGTTGGACATAATTCACATGAAAGGCAAACGGTTTCTTTTCCAGCTATGACCAATGCACAAAATAGTGAAGACAATAATTCCACAGTTTGCCTCTAAGCCAGTTGGAAACTGGCTTTATCACAAATCTGCATTGTCTTAAGTAGATGTTTATCACAGCAAACACGATCTAACTAGATGCAGAGAATATTTAAGTAACAATATGCCTGTGTTCAGTTCATTAAGGTTCCACTGTCTAAAACACAAGAGTTACCAACATTCTGGATATCGTATTTTCTTCCTCTATGCAATATAGTAAAATGTCTACAAACCCCCTAAGATTTGAGGTGAGGTCCTGCAGATGGTGATGCTAAACTGAAGCAGGTAGATGAAGTGATCCACTGCCTTATTAACAGGGAGGAACCTTCCTGTCTACGTGCCTACATTATGTGTTATAGTAAGATTTATACACACTTATTTACAGAAGGATATGCTTTTACTGCAGCTTTCCCTCTGTGGCTGCTTCTCCTGTCCTACTCTTATGAAGGCAAGGATTGTTGAGCTTTTGGTGTTCTTTAAATCATCTGGTATTTATTTATTTGTAATTACATCCATCATTTACATTTATTTACACTTTTTCATCAGCTTCACTAGTTATATATGTTGTTTTACAGAATGAACTGCACATGAATTGTATTTTATGGCTAGATAGGAGAGCTTGGCTGCCTTTGGGGTAGGTGGCCATTGCGCAGTAACACAATTTAGCACTTCCTCTGATACAATATTTTATTACATCTGCTACCCATAGAAGGGGAGGAACTGAGGGGACAGCCAATGGCACACTGTGACAAATGTTCACATTTTTTAAATGGCTTGCTTGTTTGTTTGTTTTCAATAAAAATGCAAAGCTTGCAGTTCAAAGAACATCTGAGCAAAAGGTTAATTTAATCTTAAATCCACAAGGTTAAGTTGTTCTTAAATGTTTCTTTGTTTTTATATAATGCAGAAAGCAAGCCACACAAGGTTCCTGGAAAAATTAAATTCCCCGTGGCTAGAATCTCTGAGTAGTTTATATTTGCTTCTAACATGCTTTCAGCCAAACGTAATGGCTGCACCCCAGAACTGCACCCTTGGACTGCTACTGAGCCCTAGGTTGCTGTGGTGTCAGAACAGATGCACAAATGGCTGCTGTCAAGTTTTTTGATATCAAAACCTGAAGTGAGGGAAATTTGATTATTATGGGAGGAATTTTTTTCTCCTGATGAATCATAGTGCTCATCCCTTTACTTATTAAATGACAGTTCAAGTACAAAATCTCAGGAAGAGAATTTTCTATATTTAGAATGAAATTTACATGGTATGAGGAACCCCAATGCAGCTGAGGACATTTTCAACTAAATGAGGCAATAAGACAAGCAGGGTTTTCATCCAGGACTCCTCCTGCTGTAGGCTGTCAAAGCACTATTTACAGGAATTTAAGGGGCAGGCTTTGCAAGAAAAAGGGAGCATGTGTAGCACTGGCTGAGCAGAGCAGCATCCACCAGCCAGGCTTCCTTCCTTGCAAGTGAGTAGCCAGCCAGGGAGTCCTGAGATGTGGGACTGGAGAAAAATGGAAGGCAAGCACTGCTGGCTGGTGGCTCTCAGCTACAGGAGGGGTCCTTTGGGCACCACACAGCCAGGAGGTAGATTTGTGTTGGGAGTTGCTCAGATCCATGGCAGAGCACAAGGTCTGGGGCGTTGTGGAAGTGGAATGCAGCCATTTCCATTAAATATCCTCTCTTGAAAATCCAAGGTCACCAGACTTGGAGAAATGAGAGGTGCTGGAGCAAGTCCAAAGAAGGGCAACAAATCTGGTGAAGGGTCTGGAGCACAATCTGATGAGGACAGCTGAGGGAGCTGGGAGCATGGAGAAGAGGAGCTTCAGGGGTGACCTTATCATTCTCTACAATTGCCTGAAATGGGGGTGCAGCCAGGTCTGGGTTGGCCTTTTCTCCCAGACAGCTGGAGACAGGATGAGAGGACATGGCCTCAAGCTGCAACAGGGGAGGTGCAGGCTGTACATCAGGAGGAATTTCTTCACAAAAAGGGTTGTTAAGCATTGGAATGGATTTCCCAGGGAAGTGGTGGAGTCACCATCCTTGGAGGTGACTTTTAAAAAGTCACTTTCTGACTTAAGAAACAGCTGGACATGATACTTCATGCCATGGTCTACCTGGCAAGGTGGTCAAGGCTGGACTTGATGATCTTAGAGGTCTTTTCCAATGTTTATTATTCTGTCATTCTGTATTAGTGTCAGCCAGACACTGAAACTGCTTCCTTTGGTGGGGCTGTGGGACTTAGGTGTGAGAGATCAAACACTGCCTACCTCTGCTGTACACAATCTGAAAGTTCTCAGTCTCTTGCACTTCTAGGTCTGTGCCAGAGTAATCCCTCAAGTTTTTTTCCAGATTGCTAAGAATTTGCAGCCATCAGCTGTAATTTCCAAATCTGGCTGTGTTAAACATCCCATGAATTAAAAATACCTAAAAGTTACTAACCAGAATGTTGAAGAGCAGTGCCTTTCTCAGTGCAAATCCCAAACTTGAGTAGTTGCATCCTCATGCTGTGTACAATTAGAACAGTAAAAAGGTATGCACATCAATGTTGTAAGCAGTAATAACTATTAGCTTCTCATTATCAAGTCCTGGAATTCCAGTTGGTGTATTTCCATTTTTATGGATTACTTTCAACTCCCTCTACAAAACCTAGACAATTACTGCTTTTCCTTTTGTTTTCCTTCCTGCTTAATTCTGAGCCTGGCTTTATACTTCTGTCTCCCTAAGATGGGGAACAGCTCTAAATCAAGCCTGTAACATTTCACTTAAATTACGTGAAGATGGCTTTGTCTGTTTCTCCAGGTGGCTTAATAGATAGAGACCTTTGGTCCCTTAGATATTTATCACAGCTGTAACCACTATTTCTCCAGTCTTCAGTAAGAAATCTGTTGTAAGTCATAGTTAATTTACATTGGCTTCCGCAGATGTTGATTCCTTGAGATTGCTGTCTTCCAAGCTTATCATTGTATGTCAGAATGTACAGCCAGTTCAACCTAAAGGGCTGTTGATACTGACTCATCTTTATTCAAACAGTTTTTGCTCATCCTTGAACATTTCGAGCACATGCAGCTCTCCTCAGTTCATGCAGTTTGTGGTGGTGTTCAGGATACACATACATATTGTATACACATTTCAGCCTATTTGGAGCTTTCAGTGAGGGCTAAATATGAAAGTATTAATTTGTTGTAGAATTGAGTGTGTGTGCAACTTAGGTAGGAACATTTGTGGTAGTGCTAAATGAGCTAGCTGAGATACTAATATGAATAAAGAATTTTTCTTAGATTTGCTAAACTTTCTTGAATGTTATCTCATAGTCACACTGTTCACATGCCTTTCCTGACCCTTCTGTATTTCATTTATTGTCATGGAGAAGAACTTCAACTTTTATTATCATCCTTGGCTTAACCTCTTTCTTTGATTTTTGGGGTTTTTTTGACTAAACAAGTACTGACTCGATGCACTTGGGAAGTCTGAGGAGGAGAATCCCCCCATTTCAACCTGTTACTCAGTGTGTCTTCCTCCTGATAAACTTTTAGGGAATGTCTGTGTCACATCTAAGTTTCCAGTTTCTCCTACACATTGCTCCTAAGGGGGGTGTCCCAGCACTGACAGCACCTCTTCAGGTAGATCCAACAGCAGGGTGTGGGCTGGCAGCAGAGATGGGAGCCTCAGCACAGCCCAGTCCTTGGCTCTGCTAATGAATAACTAGGGTGTAGCCTTCAGCAAGTCTCCATGTGTCTTTGTGCATCTTATTTACCCTTCTAGTAGGATAGGGGTGCTAGTGCCAACCTGGCACTTCCAAAGCACTTCAACAGCTACTCTGGGAATGGTTTTTGTACCAGTGTTGTAAAATATCAATTTAAATGACTGTTAGAGGGGAAACACTGGTTTTCCTTTTGCATTGAAAGCACATGGCCAGGTCTTGCTAAAGATACTTGAAGTCTTAAGGGAAAATAAGCTACAAGAGACTTTACTATGGAGACACTGGACTTCAATAAAAACAATTTCTTTGTAATGTAACACAGAAGCAACATCATTGCCCTGTTAATAAGTGAATTATTTCCCTCCTCCTTTCTGCTTCATTGCCTGCTGCAGAAAAGTATAGGCCATCTGGAAAACAAGTCCATCAAACTCACCACTTATCACTCTTGGGTATTTAATTTACACCCCCAACCTTTAATTTTACTAAGTAGATTATTTCTGTATTTATCAGAAACTAATAAAAAAGCAAATTTTACTTTGTGTTATCCAATGCAAGTAGCTACCACATCTTCTGAATTTCAGTGGCAGTGAACATGCAAATCTAAGTGCAAGAGGAACTCACAGCTTCCCTTTCTGGTGAAACAAGAAAAGCAAAACTTTACTGTGTAATTTGGAGGCAAAACTCAGAAATGCATTTTCAGTCCTATATTCAGTTTTAAAAAGGAATGATGGAGGTCCAAGCTTAGAAGGCTGCCTGCCCCAACATGGTATTTCTTTCTCCTCAATTCTTTTGAACATCTTACACATATGTACAACACAAGAGCTGACATGAAAAGCTTTTTTTTACTGAAACCTTTATAATTGTCAAAGTGGTATATTTGAATGTATAAAGCAGTCTTCTTTGCAAAGCACACACACAAGAAGTATACAAGTAATTTCAGTTGGAATAATTGTAATCTAGAATACAATAATGTTTTATCTGTTTGACATTGATGAATTAAATAATGTAACAGCATACAGTGATGAATTCTTAGGGGACAGTAAAAAATCTTTAGGCATAATGAGAACCTTTTCATTGTGATTTTCCTAGAGCCCCCAAATTGGCTTCATTTCTTTTTTGAGATTTTCATGCAGTCATGATCTCTGACAAAATCTTTGAATGTCCTACAGACAGGGAGTTAGGGGTTTCTATTCAACAACACTGAATTTTAAGAGATTTCTTTAGGGTAATGTTTCCACTTTGAACTCCTGTTGTGTTTAAAAATAAAATAGGGAAGATATGCCTCTTCTTTCAAACAAATGGAAAGTCAGATAACTCCAGGTGGCCCATTTGAAATACAGCAAGGTAGCAACAACCCACATTAAGAGCCCAGTCAAGCCTGCTGTACCTATTGAAATCAAGGAATCTCACTTATATTTAATACAGGTTACTGAAATGAATTTATTTCACCTAAAATTAATTGTTTAACATGTATTATCTGTAACCTGGCTTAGAAAAACACCATTGTTCTCTTAGGTGCAAAATGTTGAAAAGATACTTGCTCATTCATTACAGAAAAACCAGTCTACATTTCAGATAAGAAACTGAAACAGTAAATGTAATCATTATCCAAATACAATTTAAATTAACATTATCCATCCTGGCTTCTCTGTATACCCATGACCTTTACAAGCCTTTATTTATCACACATAACAAAAAACTTAAACAGCTAATTTTGCAGGAGTCAACACTGATGTATTACTGATCATTTCTCATTTTAAATTATCGTGCTACCTTACCCTTAATTAAAAATATGTCTGCTGTACATGGGAGAGTTTCTATTTCTGTCATGTAAAAGGATTTCTGATGGTCATAGGGGAACAAAATGGTCCTAAAGTCACTTCATGTGGAAGTTGATTATATCAGCAAAAAACACTTTAGTAATTCACTGGGATCTAGATCCCCATGCCAACCTCACACCATATTAATTTATGAATGAGGAGATGTTTTTTCTCCTGGACTTTCCTTAGTATATCTGTGATGGGACAAGAACAAGATCAAACCTCACTGGATAATGCAAGATACCTCAGATAATGCAAGATACCTTGACCACCCCATGACCCATCTCTGCCATTGGTTCTGCTGCTGTGCAAATCCCTTCTCTTTCACCATGGAGGAATTGCTGTCACCATTAACATTTCCTGCAGCTGAAGGGAAGGAGACCAGGCTCACCAGGCTGTTCATTTGTCCCTCCAGGGACAGTTGTGTGGTCTCCCTAGGCATTAGGAACCCTGCACTCAGTGTTGTCTCTGTGACAAACTGCCTATGAACCCAAGCACTGTCAGAATTGCATACAGATTTTCAAAAAGCAAATACCCAAGATATTTTTCTAGTTCTCTATGTACCAGCCAATGTAATCTGCAAGTCAGTGTCTAACTCTGTATTGGGAGACTGCCAGGGGACTGTAGTTCCATTTTTTGTTAAAATCTTGATTTAATTTCTATTAGAGTGAAGGCATTTTTCACATGTTTGTCGAAAGTTTTTTGTAGAAATAGAGACCAGAATTTGAGTACACTAACATAGACTACATAGGATGTGATAGACATGGTCATGCTGTGTTGCCCAGTGGCACATGATTTGGCTTGAAATTAAAAGCCTCAGCAGGACACCTGGAGGAAAATCTTCACTGTGATAATGTAGACGACAACTTCTGAAACAGATGCCTAATGCTAGTTCCCTCATTCAGCACCTTAAAGGTTGACTTGAGTCTGAAAAAACATCACCCATGCCACACAGGTCCCCATTACAAGGCAGTGGCCTCACAGTAGCCATTACCCTTCAGAGCCCTTTTCTGAATGTGGAGCATCAGCCCTTTTCAGAAGAACAGGCCTGTGCCAGGCAGACCTCTGGGCTGTTCCAGCCTGGCGTTCATTATTATGTGGCATTTGTCCCTGTGGGCAGTCAGGACTCAAATGGATAAACCCATTCGCTACTGATGAAAATGTCCAAACCAGTTGTGTACTTGAATTACTGCAAGCAGTAAAAGTGACTATGTGGATTTTTTTCTCCCTTTGGTGAAATTCTCTCCTGTTTTTTCCAAAGGCCTCTAGTTCTGTGAAGAAATAAGCCTTGCTGTCTTCTGCTTTTTTACAGTTGTGGCCAAAGTAGAAGACTCTCGCCCAATGCAGAGACCCCCCAGAAGGCCACGGAAGCCCAAGACATTAAATAATCCAGAAGACTCCACCTACTACACTCTAATACATGTGAGTTTAAGAAGCTTCTCTGAGCTAAAACTGTCAGATAATTCCCACCTAAACTATCTTTCTAATTGCCCAATTCCCATTATTCTTTTCTAACACAGCATAAAACCTGTGTCCAGCCGAAAGGAGGCAGGCCACAAACTTTCATTTCAAACGAGACTTGAAATGGAAGTACAGAGTTACCCAGATTGGGGAGCTATGTCAGACTGGCATTTACTTTTGTACCTAAACACATTTTCATTATGGGCATAAGTAGCATTTGCATTTTCAATACTCAAATCAAGTGCCCTGTCTCCATCATTTCTTTGTAAGTCACAGGAGAGAACCAGGAGAGGCACAGGTTTGTTTGGAGCTATTTTGAGCATCTAAATTAGTACTTGATCTTGCAGAGAGAGCAAATACTAAAATAAGTTGTATTAGTATGCACACTGTAACTTCCTTTACAAATGTGTCAGATTGTGATTATGAAGGCATTGGCAAACACCAACAGCTCAGGAGACTAATGGATTTGAGTGTCGCTATATATAGCCTTTGGTCCAAGTTCAGAGACCGAGTGCTGCTTTCCCCTCTTGACTTCAGTGCCCTTAAACATAGGAAAAAAGGCAAGAAAGTAAGCAGAAAAAGTGAAAATGTAAAAGCAGCTCAGAAAGCACTTCCAACAAAAAAAGCAATTAAACTGATTTGCTCGAGGTGCCTGTATCTTAGTGACCTATTTTAGCAGCTGGTGAGAAGCCAGCTAATAAACTAACTGTAGCAATTGCTTCTCCTTTCAACAGAAGGTGTCACCAGGGCCTGTAGGGATGGTTGTGTCTGGCATACCAAAAAAGGCAAATACAGCTATGTTTTATTCTGGAACTCTGAAATAACACAGCTTTGGAACAGTGATATTCTGAAAAGAAATTGCATTCTTAAAAATAATTTTGCATGCAAGAATAAAATTTGTTTTGTGAAAGCAAGATTGTTGATAGAAAGGACTGAAATGAAAGGCATGACACAATCTGTATTCAGAAATTTTTGAGAAGCACAATTCTGAAGTAAATGCCTATTTAGGAAATTAAGACCATAAGGTCAGGAATATAGTATTTTCTGAGGGCTAATTTGTTACATGACCAGCTCCATACCAGAAAACAGCCATGGCATCAGTGCAAACAAAAGCTGCAGTAGTGCCAGAAGATTTTTAATCAATGTTTTAGCAGCAGCTTTTCAAGATATTAATCAATATTACCTTCAATGAGTTGTATTTTCAAGAATGTGTGAATAAGAGAAACCTTCCTGACATGAAGTTCACTGGTCAGGGAAAGGTTCAATATAAATATCTATACACTGAAGCTTAGAAAGGAGACCTACTAGTTGTTAAATTCTTAGACCTTGGGTAAATCATTAAGCTCTAACTTTAGATTGTAGTCAGCTTTAGATGGTAGTCAGCTTTCCCAGCTATTACAAATTTTCTACCTTGTTAAAAATCTCTGTGACCTTCAGGCATTCACAGATTATTATCAAGCCCAAATCATATGAATGGGAAGAAACACAATATGAGTGCATTTTTTTAAAAAAAATCCCTATCTTTTGCAAAATCAGATATTTCTCTCACATCATGCTATAGACATTAATTAGACACCTTACATTCTCACACATCTCCTTGCATATCAGATGACCTGCAGGAGTATACAGGTATAAATGAAGCCTGACAATAGCCCATTATTTATATAAGGCATTAGAATTATATTTTATGGTATATTTCTTTAAATCAGCCTATCATTTTGGAATTATATGCCATGTTCATTTGCCTGTATATTGAAGTCCATCGGGATTTCTGATTCTCAGTGACTTTACAGTTCCCAGTTCTAATATGCTTTCACTCATTTGCAAGAAACATAATTAAGACCACTAAAGAAATACTGCCTTTGAAGTATGACGTGTTAGGTGCTGCAACATAGCATTGTTTTGGCTGTAGGGATAGAACACTATTAGAGATAAGAAATTATTCACACTCCCTATAAATCTTGTCTCCTCTACATTTTTAGAAATCTTTTATCCTAAAGGTTCTTTTGTCACCTATTATATTGTTTTCAAATGGGTCCTTTGTCCATTTTATTCTACTAAACCTGTGTGAAGACTACATTGGCATTAATGAGAACAGGATTATGCATCTTCCCACTGCATTGTTTCTATTCATGGAAATTCTCATGGCATCACAGTAAATTTGCCTCAGTGAGATAGTGTTGTCAACTTCATTAAAACAGCTGTAGCTATTTGAAAGTTTTAGATCTCCTTTTTCTGTTCTGATCATCATTACTTTGGCTTTTTTTTCAGAGTATGGCAACAAATTTGGGAGCAACAATGGTAATCTCATTCGCAGTCTCAAAGGTTCTTAAAAGAGGGTTTTCTGGGACATTTGCTCATTTTCTATCATTTCTTTTACTGAAAAATATACAATACTCTCCTACCTAACATCAATGAATTGTATGTTTGCATAAGCTTTCCTTTTAGTATTTTAATTACTTTTTATTTTCTTAGAAATCAATCCAAGATGAAAAACGGAAACCAAGAAAAGAAAGGTAATTTTTTTCATTATTTCACTATTGTCACTCCACTACTTTAGAATAGTTTTTAGCTGTAATTCAACCAGGAGAATAAAGCATTGAAAAAAGAATGGTAATTTGGTGATTCACGGGGGGACATGTATACAAAGTTAAAATGCAATTTTCGTTGACTAAAATCCATTATAGAATTCAGCTTTCCTAAAACATGGTCCTTTACCATGGTAACACAGGCATTATAATAAGATAAGGTCCACATCAAAGATAGTTCTGACACAGAAAATAACTGAAGGTGCTTAAAATTCTAGTCAAAGCAAATGGGCAACCAGTTCTTTTTTGTCAGCAAAAATACAGACTGTCAAAATTTTCTCCTAAAAATATATGAGTGTCTGGAAATAGATAACAAAAAATTAAAACAATCACTATGAGTAACAGCTAAAGAAGAGTAGCCCTTGAAATTTGAACTAGAAGTGTTTTCTTCCCAGTGTAAGTAGCCTATTTTGATGAATCTCTGCAGAAAAGAAGGAAGCAATAGGTATATTCTGATATTCTGTCCTTCCATATCTTATATCCTTATGTGTGCAGCAGACCTGGTTTGCAGCTCCTGACATACATCACAGGTTTATTTTATTTGTGTGTCTATACTGAGGCTTTTCTGCTGCCCCCTCAGTGGCAGTGCTGTGGCACCGTGTGCGAGGCAGCCTGCTCAGAGCTGCCAGATGCTTGGGCTCTCTGCACTGGCCTCAGCTCAGTACAAACTGTTGCAGAATACAAATTCCCTGGCTAAAATATGTATCTTAGAGGATGTTGCATGACATTACATTTATAAAAATATGCTCACAGCATTGAGCTTTATTTAAGCACAGTTTAAATTGCACTCGGTTATGCCGCGGCTTAAAGGATTGACCTTATATCCACGTCCCCCATGTTTGGTCTCTTTCAGCTTTTTTTCTCATGTCATTTTGATCCTAAAAAAGTTTCACACCTATTGACTCCAGTCTAGGGGGGGAGGGGGGAACCTAACACACCAAAATCTAGTGTTTTCTCTCATTTGCCTCAGTTAGGTTTCACTCATCTTAAATCTAGTTAACCAGTTCCCTGACTGCATCTTCTCTCATGTGCTGACTCTGTTAGTGGAACATAGGAAGTGAAATCAATTAATTACTTCTGGTTTATAACAACGGGAGGATTGAATTCTGAACTTCCCTATTCTGTTTCTTTTTAGGATATTCTTTCTTTCCTTAGCCATTCTAAAATGGATGTTGGGATTGATTTTTTTCTGTATGTACAATACCCTGGATAGCATTCACCTAACAAAATAAGAGATATCTGCATTATTGACACCCATATCTGAACTAGTTGCTTTACCTTGTCTTTTTGCACTCAGAGAAAAAAGCAGTAATATTTAGGAAAATTATTCATCTCTTGCTCAAAGAGACATCTAAAATAAACCAGATTAATTATACCATAAAAATGCCTCTCCACTGAGTCTAATGGCAAACCCCAAAAATTTCAGTTTTGTCTCCTTTATGAATATATAAAAGTATTTAGCATTTCAAAATTCTCAATATCTATGTTGTACAGCAGCCACACTTCAGAGACTGATTTTTTGTGCCTATACATATTTTTCCTTAGATCTTTGACACATAAACAGAATAATGATATTGGGCTGCCTTGGGTTTGTATGCTGAAAATAATATCGAAAAGTGAAACTGTTAACTTGGTGTTCTTATTTATTGACAGTCTGAGCAAAGTGCTAGATTTAGATATCTACTACCAAGAAATTTCATCTACTGACTCCAGCTCCAAGGACAGCAGTACTACCACAAGGAGGAAGAGATACCCAATTGAGCGCAGGACTTCCATTTTACGAGCTACTGAGCGGTAATTCAGACAAAACAGTAATAGGAAAAAATAAATATTATCCTAGTTGACATCTTCAAAATATTAATAAAAGGAAAAGAAATGCACTTTCAAATTACACATAAATCTATTATTTTAGACATGAAATTTTGCAAAACTGTCTTGCAAAACATATAGCTAAAATTTCGTATCTCAAAATGGGAATATCTGACATATTCCCCATGCAAGAGGGAGAAATTCCAGTTTTTGGCTTCCCAAGAGCCATATGGACAGACATTCTGCATTTCTGATCTAAAATAAAAATAAAACTGATGCAGAACCTAAAAACTGTATTTCTGGTTAGGTTTTAAATGGGGTGGATGTGCATCAGACTTTCTGCATGTTTTCCGCAGGTAGGACTCCAGCTTGACTGCCTCCTTCTCCTGCTGTCCTGTGGCAGCACAGGTGTCTGTAGCCTGCATGCACCTCGCCAAGGTGGACAGCCAGGAGAAAAACCCCAAAGGGAGGGTTTGCTCAACCTCCCCTCTTCCCACATAGACTTCAATAGAGGGTGACCACTGCCAGGCTAAGGAAATTCATATTCTCACTCTTGCCAAGGCATTCACACATACTACACATGCTAACACACATCTATGTATCTTGATATAATTGTATCTTCTTGCATGTTCCTAAATGTAAGAAAAGCTTGGAAAACTATCTAGCTCAAAGTCTTAAGGGAAACACCAAGCCTGGGATGAGCACTGAATTTGAAAACACATCTGTAATAATAAAGGAAATGTTTGTAAAACATTCAGAATGTAGAAAGTTTTGTGCACCTTATGTATTTTAATTTCTGGTCTTTCTTTCACATAGTATCTAAATTAGCCATTTCAATCTACTTCAAGAAGTGAAGCATTGAGTACTTATTATTTAGCAGTTCACCTTTGACATTGGTATAGGACCAGTAGTGGGGGCACCGTAAGTGCAGAACACTACAAATTTTTGTAATTATTTTAGAGTAATTTACTTTTTTAATAACTGTCTTTTATGTTTAATCTTGCTCCATGGTAACAGCTGATGCCACATCACTATTCCAGCCTGTCAGAGGTGGCATCCAAAATGCATCTTGCCATATGAAAATAAAATTAAATGAGATGGACGCTTACAGTGAACTCCAAAGGCAGGTTAAATACAGAGCAAATAAATTTATGCCAACTCAAAATCTGGTGCAGTAACCATCAGGCAAATGCTACTGAAAAGCATCCCCATGCTCTCAACGTTTTTATGTCCTTATATTATGTCCCCTTCATAGGAGAACATGTTGTTCTTCTGTGTTCATCTGCTTCTAGCATATAATGTGTTTGTTCCGAGGTGCCTGTTTTGTGCAGCACAGGAAGAGGCCTAGCTAAGTCAGCTGATTTTTTTCTTTCTCCTTTTATTTTTCCCCCACAAGGGTGGAGGTTAAGCAGTCGATTAGGAGTGTTTGCCAAGGTAAATGTTTTGACTTTAATTTCTAAAACACTTCTGTGCTTAATCCCAGGTCGAGGGTTGCAGAAAGACCCCTGGAAGAGAGCAAAGCCGAAGATAATCCCTATGACTACAGACGGCTGCTGCGAAAGACCTCGCAGCGCCGGCGCCTTATCCAGCAGTTCTAGCTGCTGCTGCTGCTGCTGCTCCTGCTGCCATTTGGCTTTTATTAGCATAATTGTTTTCTATCATTTTATACCATGTGTTTCATTTTTTTTTTTTAATCTTCAATGTTTCAAGTTTATGTGTGTGCTCATGTGGATATGAATTACTGTGGTATACAGCCCAACACCATTGCAAAGGGACACTGTCAGTCACCTATCCTATTCTTCCCTAAGAAAAAAATCAGCTTTCTTTCATGTACCATTGCTACATCCTAAAATTATTAAACAGCTTAAGTCTTGTTTACTTTCTTCAGTGCATATTTCTTTTTTTCCATTCCATCAGTCTCACCCAATCAAAAAAATAATTTACTTTATAGTTCCCTGGTTAAGCTTTCTAATTTCCATATTCAACTTCAGAAAACCTTAGTTATTGTTTCTAATAAATTGTTTTACAGGAAAAAAAAATTACAAGAGCACCTTGGGGGAATTTCTGCTTATTTTAGTTTACATTGCTTAAATTTTGGGATGACCTGTTTGTGGCAAGTGTCCCTCTAATGAAAATGTATACGATTAACTGGATAGCATACTATGGCAATTTATTTCATTATTGACTTTACTGTAAAGCTAGTAGCCAGTTTTAAAGGTCAATATTGTGTGTATAATCTTTATGTTGGAGATGTTAATTTATGGGAAGCATATCCAGCCCTCTCCTCTGCCTCTGAGCTTTGTGACTAAGTGATGAACTTCTAAATCATGTTTGCTTTGTTCTCATTTGCATTAGATTTTTAGGAATCTTAATCTCTGGGGTACCAAGAAAGGAATAGAAATACACTCTCTGGTTGATTGCTGCTGAAATGTAATGATCATTCTTAATCAGTTCCACTAGAAATTAAATGAAAATAAAAGCAATAGCCCCAGTGTTCAAATTTCCCCCTGATTCCATATTCAAAAGACCTTATTTCACAGAAACCGCACAGATAATTGCAGCGCTTCCTTTCAGGATTCATAATTGCGTGTTCCCAGCTGCAAAGCAAGAGAAGGCAAATTTCATGATGCCAGCATAAAGACCTGATCCTACTCCGTTCCTCAGCTCTCCTAAATGTGACAATTGGCGGCAGCAGTCAGCCACAGGGGCTGGGTTTGGCCTTTTCCCCAGAGACAGATAACCGTGGCTTCCTGATCTGTAACTAGCTACAAGGCTGTGCACCGGATTAAAACGTACTGCAATGTAAAATTTGCTATAAATTGTTAAAATTTTGAAATCTGTTCTGAAGTTGCTTTGTCATGTATTAATACAATGGTAAATAAAAATGTACAAAGCAGAGATACGGTTGATTGTGTCTGAATTACACCCAGAACCAACAAAACACTGTGGACTGGGGCGTGAGTGAGCAAGGCAGGGAAGGGCTCACAGCAGCCTCTGGCCGTGGAAGGCTGGAGTTATTGCCTGTGTGCAAGCTAGTGTGATGTGGCAACTGGAACAGACTGTAATTTCACACCAAGAGATGCCTGGACTGGTTTTCTTCTGCTTTCCCACCACAGCAGTGTTTTAAAGCATTGAGCCATTTCTGTGAGGTCTCATGGTGGGCAATTCTCATACCCATGTGGGTGCCTACAAAAAGCAGAGAGATGCCCCAGCTGAGCACAGGGCCTGGCTGCGTGCCCAGCTGTCCCGGCAGAGCCACACTCTCACCTGCTGAGGTCCCGCCTGCCTCCCTCCAAGGCCAGGGCTCGAAATCCCTCCTGTGCCAGAGGAGAGGCAGCCGCGGCCGGGAAACGCTCCCGCCGAGACCCGGCTGGGTGGAAAAGGGAGCTTTGGTTGCCTTCAGAGACGTCGTGAAGGGAATAGGAACAGTTGTTCTCGTGCTCTTCCCGTCTGGCCCCGTCTCTGCCTCCTCGGGGCTGGAGCCAGGATGGCGGTGCCACCAGGGTCCCCAGCCGGAATGTCGCAGGAAGCCACCGGGAGCGCCCCGGAGCTCCAGGGACACGCGGGGGCAGCCGCAAGGCTCCTCCAGCACGTCCGAAGGAGCCAGGACGCCCCTGCCTGTCCGGGAGCAGGAGGGACAGCCCGGCTTCTCCGCGCCGGCCCGGCCCGACGGGGCTCCCGCCGTGGCTGTGGCCGGGCCCATGGGACGGCGGGGGCTCGGGGGCTGTCTGTTCCCACCCCGGGACCGCCGGCGGCACGGGCGAGTGCGGAGGTGCCCCGGTGCAAAAGTGCGAGGTGTGATGGGGGGATTTCCCTTCGCTTTGCATCTTACAGGACTGAGGCCACTTCCCCGTAGTCTCAACCTTCCCCTCGAGCTACCAGGCTGGACCACCGCGGCCTCGTACGCCAAGACTTGGAAAGCTACCATTCCATTCCGCTCAGCGGGCGGCTCAGCCCGCCCCGCCGGGCTGCGGCGCATGGACGCTCGGTGGGGTGAAGGCGGCACAGGCACCCTGGCTCGCCTTCGCCCCCCAAGGCAGCTGCAGCCCCAGCTCAAGCAGCGCCCATAGCTCGGGTCTGCCCCGAGTGCCAGCGTCCTCCCACCGCCGCCCCTCGCTCCTCCGATGCAGCAGCGAGCGGACACGCCTTAGAACAGCCGTCGCCGCCGGCCGCCTCAGCGGGCAGCTCCGCCGTCCCGGGCACGGCGCCTGCGGGGCGCGGCCGCAGCGGCAGCAGCAGCAGCAGCAGCAGCTCGGCGGAGCGCACCCCGGGGGCGCCCACGGGAGACGCTCCCACCCACGCGTGCCCGGGGCGCTCCCGCCCCTCCGCCCGCCGCCGCCTGGCGCAGCCGCGCGCTCTTACACACCCGCACCCTCACACTCACGCACACTCGCTCGGGCCGCCCGGGCTGCGCATCGCCGCTCCTCGCCCGCCCCGCCGGTTCGCCTCCGCCATGGCAAGCCCCGGCTCCGGCTTCTGGCCCTTCGGAGCCGAGGAGGGCTCCGCCGCCGCCGAGACCCCCGGCACAGGTAGGAGAGCGCCGAGCGGCCGGGCGGGACCGGCCCGACGGAGCCGCCGTGGCAGCGCTGCCCGGTGCCCGGAGCCCCCCGCTCGATCGGCGGGACGAAGCGGGGACCGACGGCGACTCGAGCCCGGGCCAACGCCGCGGGGCTCGGCGGGGCAGGCGGTTCCTGGGGAGCGGGGCCGGGGGTCGGGCGAGACGCCCTCAGCCCACTCCCGCCCCACGGACCCGCCGCTCGATTTTCTCTTGCAGCCAGAGCTTGGTGTCAGGTTGCCCAGAAGTTCACGGGAGGGATCGGAAACAAACTCTGCGGTAAGGGCTGGGAGGCTCCGGGAGCGCGCCCCGGGAGCGCCGCGGGACCTGCCCCGGGCCGGGGGGGCGGGGGACGAGGGTCCGTGCCCCGGTAATGAGGCCGTGTGTCCGTGTCGCTGTCAAGCCCTGCTCTACGGAGATGCCGAGAAGCCCGTGGAGACCGGAGCCAAGGCAGCAGCCCCGGGGGTAGCGGAGCCGAGGCCGACCTGCACCTGCGACAAAAAACCCTGCGGTTGTCAGAAAGCCGACGTGAATTACGCCTTTCTGCACTCAACAGGTAACGGCGCTCCCGGGGAAGGCTGCTTCTCTAAAACTAACGAGAACAAACCAGCGGCTCGATCGGGAAATCGCGCCCGCCCGCGTTGCGCGGAGGCGTGGGGGGTCCGGCGGTGCGCGGCGCAGCTCTGCGCCCCCAGCCCTGGTCCCCGGTGGGCAGTTCTCAGATCTGCGAAAAACCACGCAAACAAAAAAATAAAATCCCGAAAACAAAAACCCAAAGCAGTAAAATCCCATGTATTGGAGCCCGCGGCTTTTTCTTTCTAAAAGGAGCACTGAAAGCATCGACCTTCTCATTGAAGACCCTGCGATGTAATTAAGGTTGGAGGGGAGGAGGGAGATAGAGTGCTCTCCTACTCATTTGCTTTAATTCGAGATATTTTTGCACTTCATCTTTTCTGACCTTGGAGGTGTCGTCTCCTCCAGTGAATAGATCCCAGCTCCCCGCCGACATGCAATAGCCAAGAACTCTCCCGTTTGCTCGGCAGCCCGGGACCCCAAATTAGGGGCTTCCACTATAGTCTGGTGTGACTGAGCCATCGCTCTTAAACAAAAGCTCTGTGTACACCAAGACCCCGTGCAGCATTGTCTCAGAAAAAGGCACTAAATTATCAACAAGTCACTGGCAGAGGAGAGTCACCAAGAAGGTATTTTATTGCAAGGCAAATGACAGTTTTAAGGGTGCTGCTTGTAGCATTTGTTGCTCAATCTTTATTACCTGTGAGATTCGTTTTCCCTTTTGTCTTGTTTCCCTGCTCTCACTGTCTTCAAAATTAGTCTGAAATACACTGTGGACAGAATTGGCCAATTTAGATAGGATATTAAATCTTCTTGTCTCTCAGGACATTCCTTGCCAATTTGGTTATTAAATGAAAACAAAACCTATTCTTATTGACTACAGTGTAAAGATTTTTTAAACATAAATGGGAGAAGGCTTTGTTCAGAATCTATGCATGTGGTCATAAAACGAAGTTAACTTTTAAATTTCTCCATTCCCAGATCTTCTGCCAACATGCAATGGAGAAATAACTACTATGTCTTTCCTACAAGACGTTGTGGACATTTTACTTCAGTATGTGGTGAAAAGTTTTGATAGATCAACAAAAGTTATTGATTTCCATTACCCAAACGAGCTGCTCCAGGAATATAACTGGGAACTGGCAGACCAGCCACAGACCTTGGAAGAAATTTTATTGAACTGCAGAACAACTTTGAAGTATGCAATTAAAACAGGTAATAGCAATGCTCGTTTTCTACCCTCTATGGTCTCATCCATTGATTAAAGGTGTCATTTCAATTTAGCTTGAAACGTTAAAGATTGAACAGCAACTGTATTTTGTCAGCTCCAAGCAATTTCTAGCAGAGACAGAAGTCGTTTTCCAAAATGATAAAGCCCTCCAGCAGCTCCATCTCTGTAGCTGTCAGTGCAGCCTCGCACACCCTTTCCGATTTGAAATTAATGCGTCTGTGCGTCGGAGTTGCCGAGTGTGGCACCGAGCACACTTGGCACACCTTCTCCACTTTCTGCCGTTCCTTTTCATCATTTCCCGTGTGTTGTCCCGGCGATCGCCCCTTGCTCCCGGCAGAGCGGGGCGCGGAGCTCGGGCCGAGGGG